GGTTTTAGGAACTAAAAGAAAGTGATTCTTAGCCTATATGAAAAGGACTTTAACACACTACTGCATCAATTCCAAATGAGAGCTTCATGACATGTCCTCAGGGGGTTGTCAGAAATTAGCAAATAAAGGTATAAGAAGCTCAGTTATGTCTGAATTTCAGGTAAGCAGAATACTTTTTAATGCATTTAAGTTCCAGGCAATATTTGGAACATACTTACAGTAAATAATCAGTTATTGCTCATCAAAATTCAAATTTAACTGGGTGTCCTTCATTTAACTAATAGACCTAAAGCTAACAAATTAGACAACTTTTCAGGGTAACCTTGAATCATCTGTTGATTGAGTATTGCAGGTTTAGATGTGGTAAAATTATGTTTTCCTTGATATTTATGAAGGCTTTCCTTTGTATTTGGTATTTGAATTCAGATAAAACCAGCAAGTCAAATTCAATTTCTTCCTCCAAGAATATAACTGAGAAGAGAGAAAATTATATTAATGTCTTCTAAACACAAGATCTAGGAAAATAAGTAATCCTATAACAAGCCTTGGATTTTTAAAGATCATTCAATATTATTAACAACTGTTGCATACAACTTCAAATTATTTAGGGTAAACTTAAAGCCACTTCTAATCATGTGTATGATTACAAGTTAAGCATTTTACACCGGACTTGAAATCTCTCTGAATGCACATTGGATACTGGAATCTGTCACAGTTTATTTTCTATTTATTTGAGGTATTTAACTTGGATGTTAAAAAAATACAAATTAGTAATTTATTTGCAAGAGAGACCTTTTTGCTATGAAGTAAAGGTACTAGGGACAATTATTTCAAAAACAATTTTTGATGTTTCGTATGTGTGTGTGTTTGTGTACTGAGAGTCAAACTCAGGGCCTCACACTTACTAAGCAGGTGCTCTACCACTTGAGCCACCCTGCCAGCCCTTGATGTGTCTTGAATTAATGTCATGTGTCATCATTAGAACAATCAAATTGTCATTGACTTTGTCTCTCACATAATCCTGGGTGGCTAAGTCAGTGGTCCTTAACCTGGCTACATAGTAGAAAACTTAGATTTTTAAAAATGCTATTAGTACACCTTATTCTCCTGGATTTGTGACTAAATTGGAACCTCGTAAATAGTATATTTAAATGCTTACTCAGGTTATTTCAATGTGCAGTCAGGGCTGGGAGCCACTGGGCTAAAAGGACTGTGCAGCAAAAAAGAGAGTGGCCATATTCCCCTCTTCTCTACCTTTAGTCCTCTTTTGATTTTTACTGAGTGAATGAAAAAACAGCTCACTATGAAAATAAATATCATCACCATATGTATCTTTGGGTTCCACATCCACAGATTAAACTATCAAGGCTCAAAAATTTAAAAAAAAAATAGATCTGTATTGGTCATGTATAGACTTTTTTCTTGTCATTATTTCTTAAACATTACCATCTAACAACTATTTACATAGCATTTATGTTGTATTAGGCATTATAATTTAACCTAGACATAATTTAGGATATACAGCAGGATATGCCTAGGCAAATACTATACCATTTAATATAAGAGACTTGTACATCTATGGATTCTGTTATCCTTAGTTGTTCCAAAACCAATTTCAGAAAGTGAAGGACAATTGTGTGTTCCAAATTCTATATATTTATTTCTACTTTAATGAATAATTTATTATTGGATTTACATGAAATGGAACTTGGGAACATCAATCTTAAATATATAAAATAGGCAGAATCTGTCCATGGACATGTCACCCAGCTGAATTTTACCAGTGCATCAGAAGACTACAAAGGAACAGTGTTTAAGGAAGCTGCTGATCTCTAGCAAAGTCTCATTCTGTTCTTGGTTTTATAAGTGCCCCCTTGCACATCTGGATTTTTCTGGATTATTCCAATTCACTAAAATGTACAAATTCATTTATTTTCTGAAAATAGATATGCAAATCTTTTAAAAAGTTGTACTCTCTCCTACTTTGGTAGCTGCACCTATAATCCTAGCCACTTGAGAGATTGAGATTGGAAGGACCATGGTTCAGATCTGAGATCCTATCTCAGAGGGGGGAGGAAAAGGGGAGGAGCTGGGGGAGTGACTCAAGCAGTAGAGCAACTGCCTAACAAGTGCAAAGCCCTTAGTTCAAACCCCAGTACCACCATAACAATAATGATGATAATAATAATAAAAATAATGAAAAATAGTAGCTAGAATAGGTGAGTTTACTAGTTTTAATCAGGGAAAAGGGAACAGTGCTTAGTTTTGTTATTTTACATGTGAAAAACAACAATTCCTGAACCATTGAATGCCATCCGATTTGTCATTTATTTTACCTTCAATGTAGAAGGTAATGCTTTCAGCTCTAATTAAATGCTTGCCTTCAAATAATTTTCCTTTGAAAACTTCCTGGACCATAAATAGAAGAGAGGAATATTAATTTCTTTCTGGCTCAAAGTTGATCTACCTCTGGCTCTCACAGGAGTGATATCACCTCTGTGGTCCTCTGTGATTTCGGATGGAACCCATCTGCCACTAATCCTTCTTTCATCCTTCCTCTCTCACTTCCCTTACCCTGTCTTTGGTCTTGCTAAGCTTTTGCTCTGAGACCCAGGTAGTGGTCAGAGCCTTACTGGTCAGCAAAGCCACCAAAGATTCTAATGGTGCCTGCTTTCATAATTCTTTTAACCACCCCCTTGCATGGAATTTCGAAACACTTTGAGCACCTCAGGAGGAAGGCACTGTGTAAACATGAGGTATTTTTTTATTAGTTGTTTATTTGTGTTTATTATTAACAACTTAAAAAATTGAGAGCCTCAGAGCAATAGTGTGGTAGTTTCTCCAGGTTTAAGACCTGTGTTTTAGGGCACTGACTTTCAATATTATCTAATATTCTATCAATGTTTTCTATCAAACTTAACTTTAAATTTCAAGGCTTTGCCCATGTGTAGTTAATCATGAGAAATAGTTTCATTTGCTTTTTAAACTTTCTGTTTGGAACTAGGGTTGTTACAAAGTCTGGTGGTATGGGAATTAGAAATAGAACTCTTTTTGGATAAAAATTCTCTTGCTGCATAGATTGGGCAATCTTTGATCCACACGCAGAGGAAGTAATTTTTTATAGCTGGAAGTCAGCAGGTATTCTGTATTGCTGGTTTTATTACCCCAAAAATATTAATTCTGGAGTAATAAAATTAAAATTAAAGACTAAATCTAGCATGTGCTACTTGATTCAACTATGAGTTAACAATGCAGAATCCTTTCCTCTATTAACTGTGCCATTGCTTCTTCTAACTCCTGATCAATAGCTGTGTCCAGTAAGCAAACTTATTGTTACAGCTTGAAGAAATTTTCTTTGTAGACTTAATGTTGTTGTAGAATCATATTAGATTGATAAATGAAGTAGAGTCCTCAAGTTTATGTCTTACTTTATCTCAAATTTATAACTTATTTTTATGATTTTTTTTGGTTTGAGGAATAATGCATTTCTCAACCTAAATATTCCAAAGTACCCTTGAAATTTTAAAATTAAGTAAAGACTGGAGACTGAAATGAATAGCCACAGGCATTGGTGTCATATAGTTTTAGATTTAAAGCATGACGTATTTTTTTAAGAGTCAAAATATGTATTTTCATAGAAATCACTGCCTTTGGGATAAAGATATTACAGTAAGGGTAAGTTCATAGGGCTATTTCACAGCCTCATCCTTTAAAAAGTCCTCTGTGATACGCTTAGAAGTTAGTTTTATTTTTACCAGTTTACATAGAGGTAACATAAAGAAAGTAAGGTGGTAGTCATTTTACTCACCAAGAGTCAAGTCACTGTAATGCTTCAAAAAATTCTATTCTTTAGACAAGTGATGTGCTGGGGGTTTGGCTCAAGTGGCAGAGTGCTTGCCTAGCAAGCACAAGGCCCCAAGTTCAAACTCCAGCACTGCCAAAACAAACAAAAGTTTGCAACACTGATTGAAAGTGTAATGTGGAGAGAGTAATGCCTAAAATTTACTTCAAATGTTCATAGCATCAAAAGGGGACCACAAGTTGAGAAGACTGGCACTAAATGAATTGAAGTTTTATTTCTCAGTTTAAGAGGTGGCATACAGCTGTGTAATCACTATATATAATATTTGCTGGTTATATCTTGGAGAATAGCCAGGGCCACTTTGGCATGTGTGACATGAGAGGGATTCAATATTATCTTCTTTTTCTTCTCCTCTGTGGTTCCTGGGTTTCTCTCCTTCACTTCACAATCTATTTTTCTATGTCATTCATTGAAATGAAGTCTCTGTTTTCACAGTGGATGTCTCAGTTTTGGTATCTGAGCTGCCTGCTTCTCCTTCCCCTTGCTGCTTTATCAGTCTTGTATTTGTGCTTGCTTTCTCAGCCCCTGAATTAGATGATCTGCCTAAAATTAGAATTTCTAATTGCTTAAGCTCTGAAGCTTTCCAAATAGCTAGAACCCTTTCAGCTGACCAAGATATCAACTAGTGCACCTAGAGCACCTCTGACCTGACAATAAATTGCAATGATTTCCGAAACTTGCTTAGCAAATGCCCTGACTGAATTGGACCATGACAGTACTTAGAGGTAAATAAATGGCCCCTTTCCTTTGTTCAGTAACTCTTTACAAGCCTAGCTTAGAATGTGGTTGGCATTTCTTTAGTTGTTTCTCGGCCATTGACCAACATTCAACCTTCCCGTTGCTTCCCCGGCTTTTATAACATGGTGGCAGGAAGGAGAGAAGGAAGGAAGGGAGGAAGGGTGGGTCATTGTCAATACCCAATGAAGTGAGGCTGTGTATTAATGCAGAATCTGGTCCCCTGGTCTTAATTTGCTCTTACATCCCTTTACCCTAGTCACTAACCTGCTATGTCTGAATGTTCATAGAATATCTAGAGTTTGATATGTTTTCTTGTGTTACTTTTGGGAAATGTACACTAGCATCTGCTTGGGCTTGAAGGTAATTTCGATTCTTCTATTTTCTGATTTCTGAACTTCAGGAGAAGGTAAAGCTTGATGCTGAAAGGGAAAAACTAGAGAGGCTTCAGGAGCTTTACTCCGAGCAGAAGACCCAGCTGGACAATTGTCCTGAGTCCATGAGGGAACAGTTACAACAACAACTGAAGAGGGTCAGTAGCAAACAGGAATGCACTAGTTTTTTTGTTTTTTTTGGTTTTTTCAATTAAGTTCCACTGATATGTGACTTACTACTTCACATTGCATTAATTTGCATAAGTTGTCATTAGATATTTTTAAAATAGAAATATGCATGCTAACAGTATATATTATTCCATGCTAATCAGTTAAAAATTCTTTGTTAGAATCTTTCCCTAATTAATAATGCAAAGCTATTTTTGCAGTTGTTCTTTGTAACTAAAGAGAGCTTGCTCCTGACTTGTAGCTGACACCATGATTGTAGCATTTAAATCAACTGATGCTTTCCCCTGTATTCTCTGCTGTATAGGGAGTATTTTTTACTCTTGTATTGTTTTTCCTTAGCTTGATTTTAGACTCTTGTCCAAAAATTATCCTATTCTCTGATTTTCCTTCCACTACTACCCATTGTTTAGTTTTTCTTTTTCTTTCTGCTACTTAGTGACATTGAGCTCATGGGCCTGACCACAGTCAAACACCAAGACGCAGGCAGCAACATCTTTTCATACAAGTGTCCTAACTTTAAAAACCTTACCGAGGCATGTACCTTCCAGTAAACTTTATAAAGTTATTCTGTCCTTAATGTCAGTAGTGTTAGCACAATAATGCTAGTTATCTTCTGAAAAGGAGGCTTCCTAGGTGTATAACATCACAAACATTGACCTGGCCACCTAGTATTTCATAGCCTCTTGACTATTAGATTATCTTCCCTAAACAGCAGCCCAAATCAACTGTAATCTTGGGAAAGCAGGCATTCACAATCCTTCACAAACTCTTGTAGCAATTTAGGATTTCACGTGAGTAGAAAGAGGGTTAGTTTCATTCATGTTTTGTTTGTACCCTCTTGGAAATGATGAAGTTGAAAAATCAATTAAGATAACACATCCTTAAAAAATGTTAAGATGATTTTTAATACAAACTAATTTGATACCTCTGAGAACCTCACTGGGCAATGAAAAATTACAGTTTGAACTATTTAATGTATTGTGGAGGTTGAAAACATCTTAAAGAGTATCCAATGCAGACAGGTTGAACTGCTGCATAGTAATTTCAGTACTTCTTTCTTATGACATTGAATCAAAGACTGTTTTAATGTGTCTTTATCCTTTACTCATTTTTCTGGGTCTATGAAGCTGAATTTGCTGTAAGAAAATAAAATTTCCTATCTCTTGGTATCACAATTCTCTGAAAATTTTGTGATAAAAAATAATTGCAAAAGACTTGTGTTTGTAAAATTATTTTAGTTTGTAATTGTTCATGCTTATACCAGTTCACAAAAGAGATGGGAAAACTGGATTTTATATTTGTTTAGTGTTTTTCAACTCCCTTTACTGCTCATGATTTTACAGTCATTGTAATTCTTTGTTTAGAGTCAGTATCAAGGTTATATATTTTATTCTTTTTTCTAGTTATCCTTTTATTTGTGGTCTTTATAACTATTGCTTCCCATAAAAGCTTCAAGTTCATAGAAATAATTACCATTTGCAGGATCTGATTCTATAGGATAATTCAGAAATTCTTATGTGTTCTGAGGATTTTGACTCACAAGACAGAAGGAAATGGTACAGAAAATCTGTTCCAGATTGAAGACAAAGACCCCTTCCCCTTCCTCTCCAGGCAGAACATAAAATTCTCATCGTAAGCCCCTTTCTTAGCAGAGATAACTGACTTGTTATCTGTTGTGGTAGCTTCTGTTCACCTAATCTGAAGAGTTCTACTCATTCTCTTTTCTAGGGATAGTGAGCAGTGTAACTCTTCAGCAATTTCTTGACTCAATCAGTAAAAATTCACTTATTTCACAAGAAGTCCATGCATACCAGGACCTTCTCATGTGGTCATAACTCATTTCTCTTTAGACTTCAAAAACATCAATTTGCAAGAAAGATTTTTTTTTAAAGGGGGAGATGAGAAGAATAATAGATGGGGTGAATATGACAAATATATTTTGTGCATGTATGGAAGTATCACAATGAAACTCTTCACTTTGTACAATTAATATAGGCTGCTGATAGTAATAATAATAATAATGAGCTTCAGAACTCCACCTCATTCCAAATGTTTACCAAAACATTTAAACTGGAGTGGATAAAGTTAATTTCATTACAGTTAACTCCATTAGGTGGCAAGTCACATTAAATAGAAAGTAAATGAATATAAAGAAAACGGTTTTCTTCAACTGCATGTTGTCTTGAATACTCAAGCTGAGTTTATGAACATACAGCATTATGGACTTGTAGCTGGGCTTCTTACCCTAAATTGTCACATTGGAGTTGGAATACAGCTTTCAGCTGACGTTGTCTTCATGGCTTATGGTTGGTGTATAGTGGATACATGCTTATCAATCCTTGTGACCAGCAGGGTGAAAAAGAAAGCTGTAAGTAGATGAGCTTTGATTTACCAGAATAAGGCCCACAGTTAAGTGGAGGAGACAAATACCTGGATTGGGCAGTTTTCTTATGTTTTTGATATTTACTACATAGAATTGATTTTTTTTTTAATTCTATGCAGTGATATCCACAATTAGAAGATCCTTTTTCTATTACTGGCTCTAAAGTCTGTTTAGCCTTTAATCTTAGAAAAGTTATTCAGCCTCTATGAGCCTCAGTAGCTTCATATATAAGAGAGGAGGTAGCCTTTTCCCATATTCCAAAAGCATGCAAAGTGTTTGCATATGAGATGGAGAAAAGTTAACCAACTCAGAGCCACTGAAATTTGCTTCCGGAGTTGGCCTTAAACTATCGTGAGATTATTTCTACAGTTGCTCCTGGCCATGACACATCAATTCTCCTCTTTCTATCCCTTTATTAGGCAAAGAAAACATAAAGATTTGCATGTGGTCTTTTTTTTTTCCCTTGCTGTATACATTCTGAAAATAGTTATTGGAAAAAACAAAGAAATTATACAGAATTTTCTTTAGTGCAACTGTTTCATTTCTTTCATTGTTAGCCTCACCTTGCTAGCCAGCACAGATTTTGCAATGTCCTTTTCATGAATGAAACTTAACATTTTCATTCAGCTGGTCAAGTACTTAACCTTGACCTCCCTGCGTATGTCGTTCTACCTCAACTAAACCCTGCTCGCCCCTAACTTCCATTCCCTGAATTCTTATTCTCATCTAATAGCTTTTAAAAGTTTCTATTCTCCTCCCAAATAGCTTTTCTTTCACTGTCTAGGGTTATAATTCACACATTTTTTAATGTCTGTGGCTCGATCAGATGGTTACACCTGCAGGATCTGAGCACTGAAGTTAGTTTGATTTTCAGATTTCCTACCTAGTGTGCCATTATTTTCGTGCAGTGTTTTAAATACTACTACAAAGAAATCAGTATTTATGTGGCTTTCATGCAGGGTTAAAATAACATGTGTTGCATATCAACTACATATGGCATAGGCTACTGACCAGCATAGTGTATTATTGTGTGCACACTGTGAATTGCAGATGACTTGTAAGCCAAAAAGTGACTTTTAAATTTTTTATCTTGATAATCTTTAACCACAACCAGAAGTCCTTGAAAACTTAAGTGTGTGTGCCTGTGTGAGTAACTACATCAGATGGTACATTATTTCAAGACTGCAGGTGTTTTGTTTCAAGATACAATGCTTGGATTATCTCTTAATCCATTAATCCCTTAGTTTATCAATTCCTTTAGAATTTTTTTTCTCCTTTAAGTGTTAAAATTTCTTTTATTCATATGTGCATACAATGTTTCTTTAGAATTTATGAACTTGAAATGCCTGAAAAATTGAAATGTCAATGAACAACTTGAAATCAAGACCACATTCTTAGTGGGTGTGATGGTGCATGTCTGCAATCCTGTAATTCCAATATTTGGGAGGCTGAGGCAGGAGGATGGCAAGTTTGAGGCCAACTGAGGCTACACAGTGATACCCTGTCTCAAAAAAAAGCACATTCTTTTTGGTAAAATAAAATGGAAATAAGTTTTATTTAAATGTTGAATATATATGTATATAAATAAGAGTAATAGGTATAAATATACACTTTTTAGGTTTTTGACAGGGTCTCACTACATAGCCCAGACTGTCCTGGAACTCACAGTTCTTGTGCCTCAGCCTCCTGAGTGCTAGAATTACTGGCCTATAACAGTACGCCTGACCTTGAAAATATTTTTTTGTGTTTTCCTGATCAAGAGCAGGAAACTTTGAGAATCCTGTCTGAGCTAACATAATAACCTTGTTGCTGTAGTGTCTGTTGTAATTTCATGGTAGCCAAAGCATTTCTATGAATTATCCTTAGAATATAACTCATTTCAAAAGATAGAGATAGATTCCATTGAAATAGTAGCCTCTGTTTACTCAGTGTAAATACCAAAAGGAGAGGGGTTAGATAGTGCTATAGAACTAATTTATCATATAATTATTCTTCTTACTCACTTTGAGGATTTAATTGAATAACAGCAAAAGAAGTCCTGACTATTTTAGCTACGTAGAGCTGTTAGCCACATTCCCCAGCAGCCTCTTTCTTTTGGCTATAGAGTTTTTAAAAAATTATAATTTAAAAAATTTTCTACACATGCCACATGTATAATTGTCAGAGGATCCAAAAATAAAGTTTATTTTTTAAAGAGTGGATTGATAATAATATCACCATCTGATATGGTTACTCACACAGGCCCACACACTCAAGTTTTCCAGGTCTCGCAATTGTGGTTAAAGATTATTGAGATAAAAATATTATGTGATGTGCACCAACCCCTACACAAATACAGATACACGCCCACGCTCCTGTCTTCAGGCGTCTCCAGGTTGGAAAGTGCCTATTTCAGACATTTGGTTTTCATGACTTCTGACCTTCCATAACTGTCCAGAGTTTATTTTCAGAGTAATGGTGCTTAACATTTTGAGTCACACTTTGTGCTGATGATAGCTTTAGCTTACTCTTTCCAGTAAAAACTTTTATAAATACTTGTAATGGGTTCACAGAGGCCCAATTTAAGAATTTCAGTCTCTGAATTTCTTAATAGACTTTTAAAAGCAGTTTTATGTTCACAGCAAAATGGAGCAAAAGATACAGAGATTTCCCATACACCCCTGCCCCATGCACATGGAGCTGCTTCCATTACCCTCTCCCCCACCCGAGTGTCATACTGGTTGCAATCGTTGAGCCTAAAAAACACATTTTTGTGACCCAGAGTCCATGTCAAAATGTTTTAAATTGCTTAGCCTTTTAATAAAATTATTTCAGCATGCATTCTTCTTTTATAATATATATTAAAAAGTATTTTACTGCATGAAGGCCCAAAGAATATATTTTAAAATTATGTATATTTATCACCCTCTAGTATGTACATTAACAAAACATTAATTAAGAAATTGAGGCAGGCATGATGGCACACACCTGTAATCTCAGAAATCAGAAGACTGAGGCTTTGGGATCATAAGACCAGTAAGGCCAGGTGCCAGTGGCTCATGCCTGTAATTCTAGCTACTTGGGAAGTTGAGATTGGGAGGATCATGGTTCAAGGCCAACCTGGACTAACAGTTCTTGAGACCTTCCCATTTCCAAATAACCAGACCAAAATGGACTGAAGGTGTGACTCAAGTGGCACAGCACCTGCTTTGCAAGTCCAAAGCCCTGAGTTCAAACCCTAGTTCTGCAAAAACAAAAACTGAGGCCAGCATGAACTACATAGTGAGACCCTATCTGAAAGGGTGGGGGGGAGACAGAGGAGAGAAGGAGGAAATGAAGGGAATGAAAGAGAAAGAGAAAGAGAAAGGAAGGAAGAGAAGAAGAGAGAGAGGAAGGGAAGAAGGGAAGGGAATGAAAGAAGATGGGAGGGAGGGATAAAGGAGGAAAAAAAACCTAAACTTAAGTATGAGGAGACTAATATTTTCTCTTCACATCTGAGTGGATTGTGTTATGTACCATCTGGGTACCTGTATTCCCCTTAGGTCCTCTGTTCTGTATGTACGCTAATTTTTGAAACTTTATTTTAATTTATATATAAAGTCTCATTTCATGTTTCATATGAAATTTGTGATAAAGAAGAATTTTCATAAGAAATTATGTCTCACTTTGGGTCTGCAGATAGCATTTAGGTTGTGTGCTGATTTTTTTTTTTTACACTTCAGTGTTCATTTTAAAAGCACCTAGTAAATTTAAAGCAAGAATTCTTACATGCACAGAGCAGCTTTAAGCTGATGGTGAAATGCATTCAACCCTTCTGCTGTGCCACTTCAATTCCACTCCAACAGGCTGATGTGGGGTTAACTCAAAAACACATCAACTGCCTTTAATAATCATTTCTTCACATTTAGAAGGTTGCAACCATGCTGGTGTGTCTCGTTTTCGTTCCCTTTTCTCTAAAGGATGCTGATCTGTTGGATGTTGAAAGCAAACACTTTGAAGACCTGGAATTCCAGCAGCTTGAACACGAGAGCCGTCTAGATGAGGAAAAGGAGAACTTGACTCAGCAGCTCTTGCGTGAGGTGGCTGAATATCAACGAAACATTGTCACTAGAAAGGTACTTTTACCAGATAGTTTTTAACATGAAAAGCCAAAATATACTCCTCACTATGTAACAATAATGATCAGTCATATAGCTTTGGTGTGTATCTGCCTTTGTTTCTGAATATGTTTGTGTAATTAATCACAGATTACAGAACTTGCTGTACACATGGCAAATGATCCTCTGACGCAGATAAACTGAGGCATGTCATGGTCATTGTTACATAACGCTGGTGAATAATACCCATTTTTCTTTTTATTTGTGTTAAAACCAGTCATTGAAATCAGGACTTGAGGTACTTGTTCCAAATTACTTCTGTTGCAATCACAGTAAGGATTCAGGATAATTTTATGGACAAAGTCTACACTGGAATTTTCTGCTTCCATTTCTCATTAATTCTCAGAGCAGGTTGACAGCTTTCACTATAGAAATAGCTCAGTGAAATGCCATGGAGATTATTGCTGACTCCACCCAACCGTAGCACCTAAATAGCCAGTCCAGAATTAAGCTCTTGTTTCAGAATTTAGACTCACATCCTACTCTGTATTAACTGAAGGATAAAAACCCAAAAAACTGAAGGATAAAGCTGAGGGATAAAGTTGAAAGAAGATAGAGAAGGTGACTTAAGCTCTTAGTTTAAATAAGAATTACCATTTCTTAATGCTGTTTTCCCATAGGCATCTCCCAGATATTGTCAAAAATTCATTGATGCTCCAAAATCAAGATTTCCTGGTTTTTAAAAATAGATTTTAACTCACTTAAGCTGTATTGGCTGTAAGTAAAGAGGCATTGAGCTTGGCAGGCCAATGTAAATGCCTTGTAGTCTCCGGGTAATGATGACTGACTCCCACTAACTAAAAAGCAGTTAGCAATGATAAAGACCTTTTTTCCCTTACCCAGGACAGACTAGCCATCTTTTTATGACTACCATTTTTCTTCCAGGAAAAAATTTCTGCATTAAAAAAGCAAGCCAATCACATTGTCCAACAGGCTCAGAGAGAGCAAGATCATTTTGTGAAAGAAAAGAATAATTTAATAATGATGCTACAAAAAGTAAGTATTTTACATCCAGCCCTGGTTACCATAAAACACAGCTTCCAACTTGGATAAGATTGCCTCTTTCAAAGTAAATTGATTTTAAAAGTAAATGCGTTGGGCTGGAGACACTCACGTGGTAGAGCGCTTGCCTTGTAAGTGTGAAGCCCTAAGTTCAAACCCCAGTACCACCACAAAAAAAGTGAATATCTTTATAATTTAAGGGAAAATTTTGTATACATTTTGATTTAATCTTGAACATTAATAAGCTGATATGCTGTGAATAAGTAACTACAAATCAGAAAATAAGCAAGAATATTTTCTTCCTCATGCTTTTTTTTCCACATTGTAAAAATCCAAACTACGGCAAATTTGTACTTTCTCTTATTTTCCTCTTTTCTTTTTAATCACGTTTTTCATCAAATTGTTAAAATATGTCCTAATATCAATTTAGGGTAGATTTAAGGAAAAATTTTCTTTTTTAGCATATTAATTATATAAGGGGTTTCATTGTGATGTTTTCATACATGCGTAAAATGTACTTTGATCACATTTACCCCCCCACTGTTACTCTTTCTTCTGCCCCTTTTTATAACTGAAGTACTGTTATATGTATATATGAAAACAGAATAATGAAACTCATTAAAAAACATAAAATAATGCTCTTTTTCACTGCTATCAAATATTGAGACTCAGCGGCTCCAGTGTTTTGAACTCCAATTATTTGTATGTTGGGTCTTCTTGGCAAATGTCACATTGGAGTTAGTTTGACTTAGTTGGATTGCTAGACACCACCCCACGTGGATTGCTTAGAAGAGTGGCAGCATCATCTTTACCACAGGGACTGTGTCTTTATCTGTCTCAGTAAAGTGACTACATATAAAGGAATTTTTTTTGGACAAAGACAATAAAAAGTAACTTGTAGCCCAGTCTTTTTAAACATTGCCCCTAGTGCCATTTCAGGGATAAGATACCAAACATCAAGGTTGATGGAGCTAGTTTCAGGTCTGAGCCCTGCATGTTGGCCACTACCTAGGAATATGACATTGGGGTCATGAAAATAAGTGATGGACCCAGAATAGGATGCAGGAGGAGGTTCAAATCCAGAATGCAATATTAAAGAATGAGTCTATACCATGGTCCCACCTACAGGAAATCAGTGTTCCATTCTTAGCTATTTTTAGGTTAAGAAAGAGGGAAGGAGTCCTTTAATGGTATTATGAATCCACTTGAAGTGCCTCTGCAGCCCACTCAGGTCTTGGACAGCTTCCTCCTACTTTTTCAGCACCTGGAAATGACTGAACGGAGTTGGATTTTCCATCCCAATCTCCTGCCCTGCTCATGGGATAAACTCTACCATTAGCCTCCCTACAAACATTTTACCTTTTGCACACAATATTCAAATGCACAGCTTAAATTAGATAGTATATGTTTTTAAGTAGTTGTTGAAATTTTAGGAAAAAGAAAAATAAAAAATCTCTAAGTGGTGGACTTTTACAAATAGGTAAGCACAATTGCAGATAGGAAATTTCTTTATTAAAATACATAAAATACAATGGATTAAAAAATTCTGGTACATAAGTATTAAGATTTTTGTTTCACCTATGATTGAGCTTTAAATTCATTTCAATTTCAATCAAAATGCCAACATACATCTTGCAGAAATTGACAAGTTGGTGCTAAAATTTCAAGTTGATTCTCATTATTCATGAATTCCATATTTGTGATTTTTCTTCTTGCTAAAGTATACTTGTAACTCCGAAGTCAATAAGTATGGTGCTTTTGTAGCCATTCATGGGTAAGCACAGAGCATTGAAAATTTTGAGTCACACAGCATGTGCATTCCTAGCTGAGGCTGAACAAGGTAATACCTTACAGCACTAGGCTTTCACTTTTCTATGGGTTTTGTTGGGGATTTTACCATTTGGATTTGCTCCTAAGCACAGTACTAAAGTACTGTCCAGGATCTCCAAGTGTAAGAAGGCTATGGAGAAAATACATATATTACAAGAGCTTCATTTAGGTATCCATTATAATGCTGTTGGTTGTCAATTAAATCTTAAATGAATCACAAATACATATTACATAAGGTACATTCAAACAGAAATGTACTTAACACCAAGTTATATATTGATCAGTTGGCAACAATCTTGTGACCAGCCCAGGTATGGTGGTGATCTCAAATTTGAGGCCAACCTGGACTACATAGTGAAACCCTGTCTAAAAAAATGTATGCATTAAAACAACAATATACCACCTGAAATGACTAAAGTAATTAAAAGTGAAAATTTAAAGTACTGGCAAGGATATGAAGCCATCAAGAATTTTCATGTGTTGCTAATGTGAGTATAAAATATACAGCCCCTTCAGAGAACTCCTTAGAAGATTATTGTACAGCTTTAAATGTACACTCACTTTGGACACAGCAACTCTACTACAAATTTACTTAATGGAAATGAAAATGTGTCTTTATACAAAAGTATAAAGACTCAAGTAGCTGTGTTTATAACAGCAAAAAAGGCAACCTAAACAACTACCAAGAGGAGCACAGATATTCAAAGTATCGGGTGTATACTGATTCACACAGTACAGCACTCCTCAGTAATAGCAATAGTCAGCTACCAATGCTGTAACATCATAGGTTTAAAAAGGCAGCACAAATGAGAGCATATTGTCTGACTCCATTTGTATCATGTGGAAGAACAGGCAAAACTAGTCTGGGACCATGGAAACCAGAACAGTGCTTGCCCAGGGGATCAGGATTGACTGGAAGGGGCTATGAGCATTTCTGGGGTCATAGAAACACTTTTACCTCAGTTGCAATGTTGTTCATTTATTAAAAGTCATCAAATTACAATCTTAAATTCTTTACATTCCACTGTTGGTAAATTATACCACAGTAAATAATCTGACCCGTTAATATTTTTCCTAAAGGTTGTTCAATAGCATGTTAATTCAAGATGGATCATAGATAAAGCAAGAACACACAAGGAAGATATGAGGATAGGTAAAACACCCAAAAAACTAGATAGCATTTGTTGCCCTCAATGGAGAGAAACTAATGCAGATACTTTAAAGCAACTGAGGCCAATAGGAAAATGGAACCAGGAACTAGAGAAAAGGTTAGTTCGAGAAGAATTAATTTAGAAGGTAACACACATGCACAGGAAAGCGATGCAAGTCAACTCCCTGCATAGCTATCCTTATCTCAACTAGCAAAAACCCTTAGTCCTTCCTATTATTGCTTATACTCTCTCTTCAACAAAATTACAGATAAGGGCAAAATAGTTTTGCCTGGTAGCGAGGGGTAAGGTGGGGAGAGGGAGGGGGCGGGGTAAGTAAGAGAGGGTGCAGGGAAGGGGGGAGAAATGACCCAAACATTGTATGCACATATGAATTAAAAAAAGGGGGAAAAAAAAAGATGGATCATAGACCCAAACACAAAAGCTAACACCATAAAATTTCTAGAAGAAAATATAACAGTGGATTGTCATATTTATATCATGAGAAGGCACAGGATTACGTGTTACTTGGAAAATAAAAAAATTGATTTTCAATAATATTCAAGAAGTGAGGGCTGAGGGATTCTGAGTTCATTTTGCTTCAACTCAAGTACCCTGGCTTTTTCTTAAATATACTGTCACTTTACAAGATTTATCTTGAATGAAAAGTTATCTAGTTAAATATGTTTGAAAACAGCTTATGAATCATATCAGCCAGCAGAATGAAATATACATAAATGTCACGTTTTTACAAGTTAGAGAAGAGGAAATAGAAATGGGACAAGCAGGTGGGATTTTGGTGTTGTCTCTAATGCAAAGGCACTGTGCTCCTCAGTTGTATTCAAGTTTCATTGCAAGGCTTAATAGATTTTGTGCTTCTTCAGGAAAAGGAGAATCTTTGTAATTTGGAAAAGAAATACTCCAGCCTCTCTGGGGGAAAAGGTTTTCCTGTTAACCCTAATACTCTAAAAGAGGTAAGCCATGATTTTACATGTCTACTCATATTACCTTAGAAATCAGGAGATGTACCTCAGTTTTGTGTGATTAGCTGGATAATAAAAATGTTAACTTAAATGATTTATGAAAACACTCAAAGCTTTGATGGTTTTTCTGTCTTTTATTATTTATGCTTTGAAGATTCCTGAGATTATCTTTGTGTCTAATGCACATGCATGCATGTGTGTGTATCTGTGTGCACAGACATGAGTGCACACATGTGTCTACGTTGCTTGGCATGACATTGTGGAGTAATTTAGAATTTAAAATGATTTAGGATCTAGACCAAGATCAGTGTTAACATCCTCCTCTTTCCTTTCTGCCATCTCCCTTCTCACTTTTGCCATGCTTACTTTACTACTCTGTCTGCTGAGACTTACAAAACATTAAAGTGCCCCCTGACATTTAAAAAGGTAGTCTGTTTTCTTTCTTTATCTCTTCTTTCCCTCCTGGTATTGTTTCTGCAAATTTCTCCCTAAACTGGGGCCTCCTATTTCCGTTAAGTTGTATTTGATGTTTATCCAATACCACTCTTTCTCAGATACCTTCTTGCAAAGCTCCACTGTGACACAGATACAATATTTTAGCTCTGAATTGGAAAATTATAATACTGACTGATATGAAAATAATTTTCTTATATTTCTAAGCTAAGAAAAAAGTTTGCTTCTATATAAAAATTTGCATAATCAGGGCTGGAAGCATAGCTTAAGTTGCAGAGTGTCTGTCTTGCAAGTATGAAGCCCTGGGCTCAAACCCCAGTACTGCCAATAAATAAATAAATAAATAAAATTTAAAAATAAAGAAAAACTTTCATAGTCAAAAGAACTGCTTTTATTTATAAGTTGCTTATAAAAAGGCAGAGTTAGGAATTCCTACACAGAAAAGATTTTTGTGTGTGTAGGTATATGAAATAAAATGCTTGCCACAATAATAGGTATGACTGAATACTTGCACCTTGGAAGGATTTTAAAAAAATGTTTGTACAACAGCTTTGTTAGCTCAGTTTCATTGTTTCTCTCTGTTACTGAGAACTTGGAACTGACAGGTTCAATGAAGAAAGGGTGGTTGTGAATGGAGTGTATGGAATGAGACAGTGTCGGCGAGGTGGGTACAGGGCACAGGTGTGAGTCATGTTGATGGAATGCAGCCTATTTTACTCTTGATGGAATGCCATTGAGTGGTTTTAACTAAGGAGATGACACTATTTGATATCTATATGCTAAGGGTCACTCAGGGCCACTCAGTGGATCTTAAAGAGTACAAGGAGATTAGGGAACTGGAATGGAGATGACTGTAATAGCATAGGCTGATGGTACTAGGGAAAATTAGTTGGATTAGTGAATCTAGTTTAGAGGCAGAATGAAAGTTCTTGCTGACAAACTGCATGTGGTAATGGAGTAATCAAAAAGAAGTGTCTAGAACAATGCCACTGTTCCCATTTGAATAAAGATGGTGAGTGCTTTTTGCTGAGGTAACGAGGACAGTGGAAAGAATAGGTTAAAGAGGGGAGATTTGGAATTTGACCTTGGACATACAGAGTTGGAAGGGCTTGTGACATCCAAATGAGTTAGATGGGCTCTAAGTCCTCTTCATTCCTTGATAGAATAAAACCTTTCCCTTTCTATTCATGAGGTTTTTAATTTTTTCTGCAGATTTACTGGTATCAAAAAGCTCATTTGCATTTTTACTGTTTTGGCATATTTGCACCATTTGGGCTTCTTAAGTATCTACATATTCTTCCATGTTCCAAGTCAACTTGACTGAAGAAATTTTGATTTTCTTTGTTTTTCTATCTTTTTGCTTTTTCTTTCATTTTATCTCTTTTTTTTCTGTAACTGAGGAGTGATGAATTTATAATCTAACTGTATAAAGAATTCCCACTTTTGGCAAGCAGCATACATTTTTGAACAATTAAGTTCTGTGATCTCCAACTCATAAGGAATCTTCAAACCCTTGCTTTGAAACATCCTAGCAACTGAGCAAAAGAATAACTCAAAGTTGTTAATTTTCTTTCTGATTCATTATCACTGATGTAATGAAATTGGACAACCTAGTTGACTGCTTCCTTTCTTCAGCTTAACCTTATAAAACTTAACATAATATCTATTCCTGCCTCTTTCTCAAGTGCAAGGCTCTAATACATCTAATTTAGAGTCAAATCCAGCTTTCTCCACAACAAGAGCTGTTGTAATTATAAGCGCCTAAGGATTTTGCTTCAACAAATCACATCATAGTATCTTGTCTTTCCTGGACTCACTTTTTGAAAGGACTAATGGTGTTTCTATCATCAGTGGGCTAGTGAAACCCAAGCATCTTAAATTTAACTCAATTTCACTTTCAAAAGAGTATCATTTTATGTACTTTTTCTTTTTTCATATTTTATTGGTGTGGCAAATCTGCATAATTAACTTTCCATGAAAATTTGTAAGTGCTTTTTCCACAAATATAAATTTAAGCATTTTGGTTCACAGAGATTTTAATCCATGGGTATTTTCTCTAAGATACAGCTGGAACTGAATTATTCCGCTCAAAAATAACTGAAAATCCTCTGTCCTAGGGATAGAGTTTAAGAGTTGGGGAAACTGCCTGGAGTGGAAGCATTCTCCAGTTGCGATTCCAACTTAGGAGTGTGTATGTGTGTGTGTGTGTGTGTGTGTGTGTGTGTGTGTGTGTGTGTGTGTGTGTGTGTGAAGGCAGTGTACTTTTCATTTTCATTTGGTTGAGATGCCAAAAAACTAAATATTATTACAAATAAATTACTGTTTAATAATTGTCTTTAGTGTGAATAATACTGTATTATAATAATACACTAAAGTGCTTTACTGACTCTAATTACTCTTCAGGAAAACAGAAGGGAAAATCTAAGAGTGAAGATTTGTGGAAAAGGTTCTTGAATTAGGGAATGAATGATTGCATTATCAATTTTAATTCTCAGATTTCCTTGACATGTGCTTATTTTCAATGTCTGTGTAGTGACAACTTCATTCCATTCACAGAATGAACACTGATACCTCTGGTTCTTTTAAAATCAAAAGTGTCGGGTTATTTATCATATATCATCTTTATTCACCAGAAAAAAATTCCACAAATATAAATTTAAGCATTTTGGTTCACAGAGATTTTAATCCATGGGTATTTTCTCTAAGATACAGCTGGAACTGAATTATTCCGCTCAAAAATAACTGAAAATCCTCTGTCCTAGGGATAGAGTTTAAGAGTTGGGGAAACTGCCTGGAGTGGAAGCATTCTCCAGTTGCGATTCCAACTTAGGAGTGTGTATGTGTGTGTGTGTGTGTGTGTGTGTGTGTGTGTGTGTGTGTGTGTTGGTGTGTGTGTGTGAAGGCAGTGTACTTTTCATTTTCATTTGGTTGAGATGCCAAAAAAACTAAATATTATTACAAAATAAATTACTGTTTAATAATTGTCTTTAGTGTGAATAATACTGTATTATAATAATACACTAAAGTGCTTTACTGACTCTAATTACTCTTCAGGAAAACAGAAGGGAAAATCTAAGAGTGAAGATTTGTGGAAAAGGTTCTTGAATTAGGGAATGAATGATTGCATTATCAATTTTAATTCTCAGATTTCCTTGACATGTGCTTATTTTCAATGTCTGTGTAGTGACAACTTCATTCCATTCACAGAATGAACACTGATACCTCTGGTTCTTTTAAAATCAAAAGTGTCGGGTTATTTATCATATAATCATCTTTATTTCACCAGAAAAAAATTATGTTCAATGTATGGAATGCCATTTTTTTCCCCAAGATTAAGCACTGTAAATCCATTTTAATTGCTGATTATTCCTTTAATGAAACCCAGGTATCTGGCTCTGCCGCTGACAGCTAACTCCATTGTACTGGGGACATTCATACTCTCGCATTCTCGCATGCTTTGGCTTTTGCTTTCTGTGTGTTTAACTTCTGAATTCCTCCTTTTAGGGCTATATCAGTGTAAGTGAAATTAATGAGCCCTGTGGCAATTCCACGAATCTGTCCCCTTCCACTCAGTTCCCTGCTGATGCTGATGCTGTTGTCACTGAGCCTGCCTCAGCTGTGCCGGGGAGCCAGCCCCAGAGTTCAGAGGTGTGTGGGCGTGATGTTTCATTCATTCACTGCTTTTCTTCATGTCAGAAATTAACCCACGGTTAACTGGAAATGAGCAAAATGAAAGCATGTGACAGATAAATGTCTGTTTAGCCAGAGAGCCAGAGTGAGGCTGAGTTTTTAAATTCAGCATTTGGGGGCTCTGCTGTACCATTAAAAACCATAAAATATATGGTACAGAGTGGGGGCTTATGAGAAGTTACTTCAAGCAAATGAGCTGGATGCCTGAGCACTCTAAACTGACCTAGTTTTCTTTAAAGTAAAACATTTATCTAAAATTGTTTGCTTGAATCACCTTTCCAGCTTGATTTTATTTTTTCAGTATGGATATATTTGAAACTTATGCCTTTCTAAATCATTCTTATAAATTTTCCAATAATAAATTAAAATACCTTCTACTAATCCAAGTTGTTTGCAGTGTGGGATTTTAATAAGAGGCTAAATTGAAAGAAATGCCCATCATCTGTGGCATCTTGATTAACACATAACACACCAGAGACATCTGGTTATTGATTTCATTTCTTTGCCTTATCCTTTCATTGCATACGGACACATATATACCTTTTCTTTCTCCTATAAAGCAAAGATCATCTGTCTGTTCTGGATTTATGTTTCCTTCCACCCTTTCTCCTCATCCTATCACTGAACCTTCATTAGCTTCTTGGCCCGAAGTCATGGCTACATCTGTCGATCCTTTCCCTTTAAATGACACACCTCCACCTCTGCCAGCTAAGAAACACAGAAGGCAACAGCAGCAGGAACAACAGGTAATCAGGAACCGGTGTTTGGAGTGGGGGAATTTTGCCTAGATAACAAAGTCACTTAAGTGAAATCTTTCTTCAATTTTTCTGAAGGTGCTTTTTAGAAAGATAAGTGGCATACTCCTTCACTTTTTTGCTTTTTTTTCTTAAGGACATTTAGTATGTTCTGAAGATGTTGGGATTGTTATAAAATTTTGAGACCTTGATTGTCATTGCCTGGCTTTTGCTGTGTTTGAGCAAGTTTCACATCTTCATGCTTCAGTTTCAACTCAACAAATACTGTAACTTATCTCACATCTTTCTCAACATACTAATAAGTATTTCCATAAAATCCATAGTATAAAAAGTGCAGTGTCAACACTAAATACTTTTATCATATATTATTGACCATAGTATGTCATTGTCTTGCTGTGTGTCAAAATTTGCTAAGAATTTCACAAATATCTCTTTTCATCCTTCTAACAATCCTGTTGAATAAGAATTATCTCCATCTTGAAATGTAGTGAACCGAGGGTCAGCCTCATAACATAACTTGTCCAAGGTTGCATCACAAGTAGCATGTTTACTGACCAGATTTTAAAATAAATAATTTATTATTCTCAAGTATTAGTTTTAGTGTGTGCAGTGTACATTAATGCTTGGGTATTCAAAAAAAATCTGTTTCCAAGACTCTCTTTCAGTTATTATCTTTTGTAAAAGGACTGTATCTCTTCACTATTATTAAGTCCCTCTGAGCTGATATAAAAGGGAATTAATGGAAAAACATGGATCCTATAAATGGTGTATACAAGGGAAGAAGTAGGAGAGAGAGAGATGTTTTGTTTATCTCATTAACAACTTTATTCAGGGTAAAAGACATTTCTGGTAGCAAAGCAATCATGGTTTTCAAACCTGCTGTTTTCTACCAAATATATTTTTAATGAGGTTTCTTGCCTTTTTTTTAAAGCTACCATTATAAAATATTGGGAAGTTTTAAGTTTCAGAATTTGAGATATTTGGTCATAACTGGGAACAATATTCAAGTGTTCTGATGCTATTACTCTAATTAAAATGAACCCTAACCCACCAAAGTACAAAGTTTTATTATTGTTATATGGACTCTCTGGCCATGAATTCCAACTCTGCTACTTTCTTGATCTTGGGCAAGTGTGTAAATGGTAATACAATATCTACTTCACAGGATTATTACAAGAATTTAATGAGATAATGTATATAGAACACACAGTGAGCATTTAATAAATATTCACTTGTATAAACAGATAATTGTAAAGTTGAAGTGTAAATATTTGTCATAAGTTGGCATGCATTCATTTTTATGTATTTTTTCTTTAAAAAAATTTTTTTTGAGATAGGATCTCATTATGTAATCCAGCTTGGCCCCATATTCATGGTCTTCCTCTCTCTACCTCCCAAGAGTTGTGCCACCACGCCTGGTAATTCTTAAGGATTTCAAAAGCTTGAGATTAGTATTAAAATGATCAAACCCAAAGAACCTTTAATTAAGATATTATTTTATTATTGAAGACATTTTGAGGGGAAGACCAAGAAAAACTTGGATAAGTTTAAAGCTGGCAAAAACCTTGCCTTAGAAGTCTGAAAAAAATGAAATAGTCAACCTGAGAATTTTTAAATATGAGGGATTATTGTGAGAGCACCTTGGCCAAGATCTTTTTAATGCAAGAGGAACCTAGAAGGATGCTCTCTATGGGAACTTTATTGGGCTTGGAGTGTGCTTATGTGCTTCCCTGTCTACTTACTCTTTCTCTTGGTCCTCTTCTTTCTTCCTGGAATCTGTGACATCACACAGAACTGTCCAGACAGGCCAGGGGTTGGGGGGATTGTTTACTTGCTTTGGCCACTGGCTGTTCCACCATCCACATGGTAGAACCATCACAATAATGGCACCCATCACAGTAACTTGCAAGTTTTGCTGAGGCCCCAAGGCAGCAGAAGTGAAAGATAGATTTTAAAAAATATGGTCTAGATTCAGTAGTTTATTCTTCCATTGTCCAGTAACATCAAATGCTAACAAAATCTGTTAATGAACATAAGTAGGAAATTAAAAAGAAATTCAGTGTTAAATTTCCAAAACTTCTTTGTAAGTGCTCAATTCTTAGTTTCTCCAGTGATCTGTTCCAGTTAGTCAAGTTTTGCTATTTTGCTTTGCATTTGCGTTTAAAGCACTTTAGAAGTCTGGAAGAAAGGAAAAAACAGCATAAAGAAGGCCTCTATCTGAGTGACACTTTGCCTCGAAAGAAAACCACACCTTCCATCTCCCCACATTTCAGCAGTGCTACAATGGGGAGAAGCACCACCCCAAAGGTAGGACTCGGAAGAGCCACAGGCTTCACTTTCCGTGAGTCTTCTTATACTCAACAACTTGCAAAGGACTTTAAGGAGAAATGCTAAATAATAAACTGTTAAATCTGCTGGTGCAACAGACATCAGAAAAAGCAATTGCCTTTTCTATGCTGGTCAGAGGATACTTGGAATTGTACCTTTTGGGGCCAAAGAATGTGGTCGTGGGTATTTTCTGCCACCATATTGCAGGTGGTTGGTGACTTTACTCATGTGACAGACTCCCCAGTCTGCATCCCAGATTTACAAATAAGATAGGATAGAGGCTCTGGGTTCCAGGGATAGCAGCACCAAACATTCGTTGGATTATTTCTACACAGCTGACACTGGGCTTAGCCCTTTATGTGACTTCTCTCATTTCAAGAGCCAGCAATAGAGGTGCTTACTGATTACTATCCCAACTGTACATATGGATAAACTGAGGTATAAGAAGCTAGGTGACTAACCCGGAGCCTTCAGCTGGTACTGGTGGAGCTGGGATGTGAACCTATGTGATCTGACACATGCTCTCTTCCTCATATTGTGCTGACATGCCAGAGAGTTCATTGCAGAAACAAAGGAAGAGGCAAGTGAAAGGGAGATTCTTAGTAGAGCAGGCAGAGGGCCCTTCTAAGAGGGCCCAAATCAGAGGAATTTGGTTTTAGTCTATTTTATGAATTGTTGTTTCAAGTGCATTTCATTCACATAAAGGATTTTGATATTTAAGAAGAATACTGAAACCAGTGGGGTTATTGGCACATTTCTTCATTTTTCAATCTAGTACATAACTGGAGATAAATGGGCTTTGGTGCAATTGGACAGGTGTGAATCTACCGCAATCCTCCTGATCGCTGCCTCCTGAGTAGCTAGGATTACAGGCGCGAGCCACCCACGCCTGACCTTTCCTGTCCTTTTGCATGGAGTGCATGCATTCCTGTTCCTGCATCCACCCACTGCTCTTCGTGCATGAAGAACTTTCAGACCTTCTCTTAGGTGACAATGGATAGTGTCTTCCCAACTCTCTTCCCTTTTGGAATTGCTGCCATTGGAGCAAGTGCTGTGACCCTGAGACTGCCTTAGAGCTTCTTGGCAGGGACAGTGACTTTACCATTTAGCATCAACAAGTGAGACATAATGACCTACTTTCTCTGCCCTCTATACTTAGATGGTGGCTATTTTCTGAGGGACCATCTGTTCAGGTGTGCCTGACGTGTTCCCTCCTGGTCCTCACAGGTGCACCTGCCTCTGGGACAGAGCAACAGCTGTGGCAGTGTGCTCCCTCACTCGCTGGCAACTATGACCAAAGACTCAGAGTCTCGGAGGATGCTCAGAGGTATGGACCTTTAAACTCACAGATCACACTCTTTTGTTAAGCATTAGAACTTCTCAGGGAGAGGGAATAAGAACAGGGTGGGAATGTTAGAGAAGGGATCAACTAAAGCCCTAAGTTGTACTCTCAATCTGTCCTCTTTAGGGAAAGATACGTATTTATCACCATTGTTGTACCAAGATAAACTTTCCTATTTACGTATATAGCTGGTACATCTCAAACACACCCATTGTACTTTATAAATTCAATAGAACTCTCAAACCAGAAAAGTCTTAGAGGATTACTAATCTTCCCATTTGATTTGAAGAAAGACAAAAGAGACTACTGAGTTCCATGAGATTAGCAGGGCATTACGTGGGATCATTTAAGTGGTTTGTGGCTGAGCCACTATGTTCAATGAGCCTTTTTACTGAAGTCAATGAGTGGACACAGCAAATCAGACAGTAGTGGCCTAGAAAAGAATTTACTAGGCCTTTTAATGTAGGTTTGAGCCCTTATACTAAGCAGTTAATGTTTTAGGTAGACTTTGACTCTCCTCAGCATATTTTCTTTGTAATAACGTATTTATAAGGGAGTTTTGAAATAATCTTTATGGTAGACTGGAAGAAATTTTTGCAATGTAGGTCTAGAAGTGAGCTTTTTGTTGAGATAGATTGATTGTATTGAAATACAGTAGTTTACATCAACAGCTTATATTTGAGCAGAATAGTGCTAGACACCAAGAACGCAAATGAATGACATGATCCTTGCCTGTGAAAGGAAGAGGACCTTAACAGATTATTTCAATAAAATGTAGTGATGCAATGATGGAGGTATGCCCAAGATATAAATGGAAACGTTGGTCAACTGGCAGGCATCTGCCCTCCAAATACATTGAAATTCAATTGAGACTGCTTGGCCTCTCTGCTTATGATGTGGAGGATAATCATTGGTTTCTATCAGGGAAAACAGTAAGTGTGTGTGTATAAAATACAGATGAATATACATGTACACATATATTCATGAGTTCATATATTCATGTACATATGCACACACATATATGTCTATATGACATAGATATCACTTGAAGGAGGCTTTCGCATCATTACTACAGGTGATGTAAAAGTTAATGGAGCCGGGCATGGTAGCACACATCTATAATCCCAGTACTCAGGGGATGGAGGTAGGAGGATCTGGAGTTCAAGACTATATACATAGCAACATCCTATCTCAAAAAAACCCAAACCAAACAAAAAGTTATTTGGGGCTATACTATTCATGAGAGGTTTATAATGTATAAGAAAGGTTTACACTGGTAATATTTAATAGGGCTTGTGGAGTGCTCAAGTGGTAGAGCACCTGCCTAACAAGCACAAGGTCTTGAGTTCAACCTCCAGGACCAGAAAAAAAAAAAAAAAAGAAAGAAATACTGGTAATATTTAATAAAATACATTGATTGAACTTCTCTATTTTATTTACTATAATGTCTTTATAAGCTAAAATATCTTTTAAAAATTCATAAATAAGCATAAGTATGTCAGTTCTTATTTCTCTCTGTTAGTATGTGGGTCAAGTCTATTTTGTGTGACGCACTTTTCTGTAATATTAATAGAGCTCCTTTTAAATGTATTTTTTCACTGACCAAAGATATCAAAGCCTGAATTGGACTTGACACCAACCAAGACCATCTGCATGTTCATGAGCTTTATTCCACATTGCAGTGGCCTAGGGAAAATCAGCACTTAGGAAAGAGGGTGGGACCACCAATGATCAGCCACTACGTTCAAAGTGTTCTCTTAAAATAGAAATGAGTAGACCTTTGAAGGAAATGAATTGATTTATAAAGCCTCATGTAGGAGGATTCCTGGGAGAATATGGTGAAACTGAAAGAATATCTGATCTCTGTCTTTCTATTTCTGTTTTCTTCTCAAAGAATAGGAATGTTCATGCTCATTTCATAAAGGAAAACTAAGCTGATTAATTCTAGATCACACTAGAATTAGCAAGTAGAGTTGGCAAACTCTACTTGCTGTCTTTGATTACTGCAAAGACTGCAGCTTCAATGGTTGCTGCAGCTCTGAAATGATGTTCAATGTAATTGTGATGGGCTGGCTTCTGAGGAGACAGAGATCTGCTATTTGTGCATTGATCCAGGAGATTCATCCTCTGTGGCTAGTCTGCTGCCTTTGGCTCCTCTGCCCAGAGAAGGAGTGGTCAGGGACAGTAATTCTTATAGCCACAGCAGATGATAAAACTGGCAAGATTTTGCACAAAGCCCATACAGGTGGCTCACAAAGACCAAAAAGCTTGCATCATTTATGTAATCAGAATTGTTTCACTAGCACTTGTTGGCTTCATTTAAGTAGCAAATGCAATTAAAATTTCAGAACTTTGAAAAAATTGTACCTAGCACATTTCCATTAACTCCAATTTAGTAGACTTACCGTTTACTTTTTCCATATACAATTAACTAAAATGCACCATTTTTTTGCTGCTATGCATAATGGATACATCCAGGACGATGGTGTAAGTATAAACCTTCCTCAGTCAGCACTGTTTTCATAGCACTGACAACATGAGTAATGCAAACAAAGAAATTTGAGAGCATAGTTTAAAGCAGCTGAAAACCTCAACTCCTGGAGTTTCAATGGTCATTAGTTTTTGTACAGCTTGTCAACTGTTCCTTTGTAGGCTTTAGAATGAATGAAATCTTTGTCCTTTTGTTTTTTCTTAAATGCAGGAAAGTCCAAGAAAGGTATGACAACATCCTTGTGTGGTGTTTATGTTTCCAGCAAATATTGAAAGGTCATTGTCAAATCATCTTTAAGAAATGATCAGATGTTAGACTTGACAATAGTGGATTTTTAGTGTAATGATTGTCCTTTTACATAATAGAGAAAAAATTGTTGCACATTTGTGAGAAACACAATGCCAAGGGCAGCTGCTCTTCATCCTCAGACAGCTGCATGACCACTTTGTTTTAGCTTTTTATCACAAGGTTACACCATGCAGGAAATATGAAGCATCAATTTTTAAGCCTCAGAATTTACATAAAAAGAAGGGTGGAGGCTGGCAGAGTGGCTCAAGAAGTAGAGCACCTGCTTAGCAAATGTGAGGCCCCGAGTTCAAACCCCAGTGCTGTCAAAAAGAGCGAGAGAGAGAGAGAGAGAGAGAGAGAGAGAGCAGAGAGAGAAGGATGGGCATTGTGGTAAACATAGGCTAAGTTTGAAATAGAGTATTTCTCCTTTATAAAGGCCAGGTATATAAGTAAGGCAGGTTACAGTAGAAGGGTGGAAGGATTTAAGAAACTCCTACTTATTCATTCCATGTAAGCCTTTTTTCTAAGTATATCTTAGTGGGGAGTGAAGAAGAGTTTAACAGACTGGCTTGAATAAGTAAGATGGTTATTACTGAGTCTAGGTAGTAAGCTATAGGATGTTAGAGAACTTGTTATATAAAATCCCAATATAAAATTCAAATAATTAAATGGCATTTTTCAAACCCCAGCTCTTAAAATCTAATCTATTTTCTATTGTCTATTATTTATAGATATAATATTATTTTTAATTCTTCTTATTTTCTGGTGGATGAATATGTGTAAAAAATCTTTCCCCTGTAAAAAATCTTTTTTGACTATGCATGTATCATCAGGTTTTTTTTTTAACTTCTTTAGCTATTCTGTCTAAACTTAGATCGAATCTAAAAATGTAACATCATCCTGTGTTCAACTGGTGTTATTACTAACACCATAAAGACTGCATGTTGGACGTGCTGTATATTTTGCCTGTCCCCTTGTCTTCCTTTCTGATCTTGTACCTTTTTCCCTTTCTCCCTCATTGTCCTTTATTCCTGATTTGTCCTGTACCACCTTCTTCTGGCTGTGGACTGTCATTAGGAAGAATGAATTCCTCAGCAGGTGAGCTATGATAGGCTGAATTGTCAGAAATTCTGGTTAGTTTATCCTCGTAAGCCCAGATTATAATTTTAAGTCATCTCATTTTCTATATTAAGGGCCAGATAACCATATAAAAGTATATAGTATATAACACACATTCAGAACACATTCTCCATATTTCATAATGGTTAACTCACAAAGGACCTTTTGGGACCAATTAGCCAGAATTCATTAAAAACAATGCATTAAAAACAAGAGAAAAAAATGAGTCTTGTGTGTCCAATCTAATGACTCTCTTAGGCAAAGAAGAGAGCTAGGTTGGTTTGTTTTGTAGTTAGGTGCTATGAGAAAAGCCTGATAATGAGGTCTTGCTTTATAGAACTGATAAACTACCCCTTAAGCAGCTATACTGTTTGGATAGGAAGGATTTGGAGCATTTTTAAGGCCCTTTTAATTTTTTAGTTGCTTTTGCTCTGGTGAACATTATTCTTGCTATGTAATTAAAAAATAAAAACAAAAGCCAAGTAGACTTGGATTGAGAAAGTCTCATTTTTTTCCAAGTCAGTTCCTTTACACCACCTCAAACAGTACATGCATTCCACTTCCTTATTTGGCCACTGAGATAGTTGGAATTTACAGATGCAAAGTGAATTCATTCAGTGACTATGGGTCTGTGACACTCCTTATCTCCACCATTGGTTCTTCTTGGGACTTTTACCAGCTCCCTCCTGCAGTCTCTGGCTCCTCTGTGCTCTTTTTACTATTGAAAGTACCTGTGCCTTTAGATGGCCAGGCCAGAACCCAAATCCCAAAACCAGTTCTTCACAATTGCATGGGTGCAGTTCCAGGGTCACAGGAGAGAGGTCTGTGTCCTTATTTGTAATGGGAGGGTAATTTCTTTTTTGAATTTGTTCAGCAGAGAGGGAGAGGGAGTTGGGTTTATTTTCACAGTGAATTGTTGCAAATTGGCAGCAATGTTCAACTCCATACAGTGAACATTCTTACTCATTGGATCCGTGGGAAATGAAAATCCTGCGTTCAGAAAGACAGACTAATTAGCCACAGGCTTTGTCATTGAAGTTGCCATGACAATATAAGGTGCTTATCCTGCTACCAGATGGCTAGAAGGTTCTTTCAAACATAGAGTCAAACCTCAACAAATAGCAAGTAAATTGGGGAATTTATGTTGACAATCCTTAACACAGTTCACATTGGGGTATAGCTGTGCCTTGTACACACCTTTGACAAATTTGAGTCATTGTAGTTTGCTGTCTCTGTCACCTGAAGGCTGTAAGTTCATTTTTCTATTCTCTGGTATTTTTGAAGAAAACAAAGCAAACAAAAACCACAACCCTGGAAGATCTGAGGATCAGGGCAACAGTTGTTTTAAGAAGAAGAAATGTACTTGCCCTCTTTGTGCTGCCCCAGTAAGGTGATAATGGCCTCATAGAGACTGGCTTTTCCTCCCTGTGGAAAACTGAAGGAGAGGGTTGGAGGTTAGGACACACACAGTCATTGTCAAGGACATAATTCTTGTATGCTGTAAGTTACCCAACTATCTTTTAAGGATTTGTTTTTCATAGGAAAACAAGGACATGTCTCCCACGTAGCTAGTGCCATTGTGAACATTTTCTGTTCATAAGGAAATACACGTGCCCAACCTTTTTACACAATGTCTGGTTTTTGTCCTTTTCATAATAAATATTTGGAAATAATTTAAAAAGAGAAATTAATAATTCTAAAAGTTTAAGTGTAAAAGGTAAATGATTAATGAATTATTTTGCCTTTTTTAAAAAAAGGCTCAAGTTTTTTAGAGATGCACTGTCTTCATTTAATACTTTATGTGCTGATGGTTATTATTAATGGTATTCTAGCCTCTCTGTCTACTTCTATGCTTTGTATTTTTCTTAGTTAAGTGATCTGTGGCTTTAATATTCATGTGTTTATAATTTGTAAGATTATATGAAAGAAACTTATTTCCCTAGAAATACATTAATCTGAAATAATGTATTTTCATTTAGAGAGCCAAAGCTGCTCCAAATACGAATGGCATGAAAACTGCATGAAACTAAAATCACTTTATAAGAATTTTGGGTGGTTAATGCTTTGTTAAATCACTTGAAACTAGAGATAAGATTTCTGTTTCTAAATGGAAATGTTTTAATTAATAGCTGGGGAAGTTCTTTGGAATTACTTCCTTTCTTTTGTCCTCTTGCCTAATTTTTGGTTATTTCATTACTAATTAGAAGCCTCATGGAAAGGTAGATAGAGCCCAAGAGAAGAGGTGAAGTTCAAATGGTCTAATTGTAAACTCTTAATAGCCTTGGTATTAACTTCCTGGGTAATGGGAGCTATTTGAGTGGAGATTTCTCTATTAGGGAGGAAGAGATCATAAACTATACAAAAAAAAGGTTTAAAGAATTAGGGATTTGTTTAACTGTACCATCCTTGCTTCCTATGTGTATGATAGAGGATTGAGAAGAATACAATTTGATTCGTAATGCCTAAAATCAGAAAATCAGCTCTCAGAGAGCAAGCCATAATAATAACACGAGGTAAAACCAATAAACTAATGTGGCGAAGTACCAGGATAAAGAAGCTTTTTTGACTTATGGTGCTTTTGATCCTACTGATGTGTAACTTTTCAATGGCTGTCACTGGCTAGCTGGCTTGCTTGTCACTGAGCATCATCTTACCTTCACTTGAACCCAGCTATTTCTAGAGAATTCAAGGCCTTTAATTGGAATTCTGTTTCCTTTTTTTTCCTTTTGGGCTTGTGTGTGCTGGTATGTTGTTTTCAGTTGTGCTGAGTTGTAGGAATGGGATTAAAAAAGTACCAAGAGACTTCATAGACACATCGTCGCTCACAGGACCACTTCTTTGAAATTCTTGCTTGCACTGAGTGTGATGCTTTTTCTTTGATCTTCTTGGCTTCAAAACAAACTAGACCAGGACCCAAATTTCATGTGCAGATGTTTCTGGTTGCTGGCTTGAGTTTGCAGACTTAGAAGATTCTATGACTGGCAAATGAAGCATATTTACATACTTACGGCTCTTTCCTTAGGATATAATCACCAACAGATGAGTGAAGGGCAAAGGCAGAAATCTGAATTTTACAACCGCACAGCATCTGAATCAAATGTCTACTTGAATAGTTTCCATTATCCAGGTCATAGCTACAAGGACCAGGCCTTTGACACCTTGAGCCTGGACAGCTCTGATAGCATGGAGACAAGCATCTCTGCCTGCTCACCTGACAATATCTCCAGGTAAGACTGATTGATGGGTGTAGCTTCTGGTTTGGAAAACCCACTTATAGTTTCAAAGATAAACTCATCAATTTGAGACATTGTAGATGTATAAGCCCAAATTTTTGAGTCATAAAGAGTCTATGACACAGAAGAGAGCTGGGTATCATGGTGACCCTTAAAACTAGTTTCTTTTGTCCAGGTGTGTTGGATCTCACGTGTAATCCTAGCTACTTGGGAGTCAGAGGTAGGAGGATTGTGGTCTGAGACCAGCCTGAGCAAAAGCAAGAGATCCTCTCTGAAAAACAAACTAAAAAAGCAAAAAGGGTGAGGTGCGGCTCAAGTAATGGGTCACTTGCCTAGCAAGCACATGCCCTCAGCACCTCCAAAACAAAGTAGTCTTATGTGACTTAGTCAGTCAGACATTATACGATCCATTTCCTACTTTATCTTACTGCTTTACACTTGAGTTCACATTTCTGCTGCATTTCAAAATTGAGTTGCCTCTCTTGGTGGGCTCTAAGCTCCATTTGCACTGCTTTTAATTAAAGAAATCATTTCCAACAATAGAGTCAGAACTTCAGAGGGTTTTCTTTTAAGCATTTGGTTTGGTAGACATAAAGCATTAGCTATTCTGTACATTAAAATGTTTGCAAAGATTTAACCATTCACATTTGTTTTCATACTTTGGGTCAAGCAAAAGCAGTATGATGGAATTTGGACCAAAGGTGCATCTGAAATACAGTGTTTCTTCTCTTCTGAATCTTTAGCAATGAATGCCCTGCCTCCCACTGCCACCTATTACGTAAAACCAGAGACAGATCATGCCCTCTGTTCTGTTTCCTAAGGACCCTCCTGAGCTTCTTACTGACTTCTCAGAGAGGGCAAGGAACTCCCAGGTCTCTTTGCCTTTGACCGTATTGGTCCTTAACATCTTCTCGAAGTCTGAGCACAAAATCAAGGCTTAGAAAGTTAATGGAGGTAGTGGTAATAGGCGCTATCTCTGTTGGTCATATGCAGAGTTCTATTCTATAAGACAATTTAATAATTTAACAGAATGGGAGTTTTGTGCAGAATTCACTCTCAATTGCCAGTTTTCTAAGACCCAAGACCTATTTTCTGAGATTTATGTTTGTTTACCAGTGTAAATAATGATGCCAAAAAAACCAAACCAATGTTTAACTCATGTAACTTTCTGGTAGTCACAAAAATGATGTCTCAACAGAAAGTGAAGGTCAAATGCTCCCACAGTTGAGTAATTCTATAACTGGCTTTTGTGATGTAATAAACCACAAAACCAAGTTTGTGCCACTGGAATTTCAGCATGGAATTACTTCTTTAATAGACTTATAATTTAGGGATATTTTAATGCATAATTTTAAAAAATCTTAAGCACAGCAAATTTCTTAAGCTCATTATTATTCTTTATACCAATCTTCAAGAAGCTCCCAATTAAGGATGCATTGTCATAACACACATTCCAGACATTAATTAGTTCCTTTTACTTGATTTCCTGGTTTATCACCTCATTTTCCATCACAATAAAACATAAAAACTTATCATAGTATAACATGAATGTTTTTAAGGCACCAAAGAGGAATACCTACTTTTCTCTCTTTCCCTTTTACACTCAAACTTTTATAAGCCTCTTCAACTTTGTCTTCAATTTGATGAAATTCTGAATCCACATTTATTAGTAGTATCTGACCACAAGGATGGGTTATCTGCAGTTGCTAGCACAGCAGGGTCAGTTCTGTAAGGACAGTCGTCATGTCATGCACAACTCTTGCCAGGAGGATCATTCTACAATGACACCATCACAGAAAGAATTAATGGGTAGGCATGTCTCACCAGGCACACTATGCAAAGTAATGAATATGTTAATTAGCTTTATTGTGGCAATCATTTCATGATGTGTGCATATATTAAACCATCACATTGTACACCATAAATATATACAATTGTCAATTGTACATATGCTCAATAAATCTAAGAGAAAACCTAAGTAGATTTCTAAGTGAAATCTAAGTAAATATAGTCTGTACAAAAATGCCTCAAAAACAGGCAAACTATTGGTAAGTTTATTTTTATAATCCTTTTCTTTTGTTGTTGGTGTTAAGGATTGAACACAGGGCCTCACACATGGTAAGCAATACTACTGAGCTAAATCTTCAGTCCTAATTTTTTTTTAATTGGTGAGATCTTAAGACCTAGATTCTCTTTAAGTCTTATGAAAAAAAATTGATATTTTTGTTTCAGCAGACAATTGGCTAAGTTAGGTTCAGACCACAAATATCTCCCAGCCTTTTGTAGGCTGTGGATTCAATGTCAGCTCTGTTTTTTTAAGCTTTTGTAGTACACAAGGTCCTTTGTGGGGGTTGGGGGGCTCTCAGTGCCAGCATGGGATATTAGCAGTAGTAGTTAAATAAAGGCTCAGATCTCATTTAAAAAAAAAAAAAAAAAAAAACCTAAGACTTTGTGAAACTCAAATGATTTCCAAGTTCATTGGAGGTGTAAGGCATACATATCTGATGTCAAAGGCAACCCTATAGAATGTAAATGCAATTTTGTGCTGTATGTGGCCCACGGGCATACAATGTCTTCACCTTGCTCAGTTGGGCCAGTAACATTTGTGCCTTTTCCCACTATGCATCAGGAATTGTCAACAAAACAAAATGAGAATCTTTATACAAAAATTGAAGAATTTTTCTTGAATTCTTGTTAGCTGAAAAGAAGACTTTTCCTTTTGCATTTCTCCCAATAGCTAATGGAAACAGTAATAATAAAATACTGTTTTCTCTTTCCCAGGAGAAAACATCTGGCTAAAAACTGGCCCTAAATCACCCTGCAAAGCGCAGCCTAGTTGTTAAGCTCTCTCCGGTGGGTGGTTTTGTAACAGGCTGGCAGTGCTGACTTTAAGATATGCCATATACCTTGGGTTACTGTCATCATTTATTTCTTCAAAAGAACCCTTAGCCCTAGATTTAAATTATCCTAGGTTTGATTTTATCAAAAATATAATTTATTATACTAAATTAATTGATTGATTAATTTATATTATATTAATGATTATTCATAACCAAGAGGTCTCTGCTTATTCATCTTATATACATTTTTATAAATGCTTTTATGTGTGTGCCTGCTGTGCCAGACTCTGCTATGGAGATACAAGCAGGAATGTTTGTGTTCAAGCAGGCTGGTAAGAACACAGGTACTTAAGTGACTGCACAGCACCCAAGCACAGGACACAGCTGTGGCTCCAACAGCAAGATAAACAAGCTATGACCTAGGCCAGGGCCTTCTTTCCCAGAAAGTCAAATAAAATGTGAACAAGTAAAAACAAAATTTTTTTTATTAAACATTCCCAAATATTTCTCTTTCTCTTTTAGTTACCCCAATCATTCTGGTAGCTTTCGCTCCTTTAGTTTCTTCCCTTCACTTGTCTGCATGATGTCTTTTCCAAGATGCATTTCTTTTGAAGCTCCTAAATCCCTTTGTGCAGTTTCCTTATTAGTAAGGTGGATGGGGACTTCTACAAAACTGCCCATCACCCACCCACCCACTGCATCTATAGGAGAAGTCATCTCTAAGTTGGCATTCTCATTTAAACCCATTCTCTTTCTTTCTTTTTTTTTTCTTTTGGCAGCACTGGGGTTTGAACTTAAGTCCTCAGGCTTGCTAGGCAGGCTCTCTCTCCACGACTTGAGCCACTCTGCCAGCCCTTTGGCATCATCATTTAAGAAGTGAAATGCTGATGTGTGTAAAAGACACAATGGAAAGCAGTGGTGATACACATTCCCCAACCTAATAAAGTGACTTCAGACTTGGTGTCACTTGCATAGAGCTTGAGGGATAGTCTTGTCGATCTGACCTCTGGATCATTGAAGTAGTAGAGAGCCTTCCTACCAGCCATCATTGGTAGACCTTAAAGGATGGATGCACTTAAGGTTATACTTATAAGGCTTGGCTTTGGCTTGTTTCTGAGTATAGCAGTTCACATTAGCATTATTTTGCTTGCTTATTTTTCTCTCCTAAACCAAAGTAAGTCACTGTCACCTACAATTTTCTGAGTTGAATTGATTTGCCTCCTCAGATCAATGACTTGTAGGGAACCCTTCAAGCTTTATCTGCTTGGATTTTGTCATGCACTCCCCTTGTCCGTGTGTGTGTGTGTGTGTGTGTGTGTGTGTGTGTGTGTGTGTGAGAGAGAGAGAGAGAGAGAGAGAGAGAGAGAGAGAGAGTTACAAGTCTGAACCAATATTCTTAAAAGGCTTTTTGTTTAATTCAGTGCCAGCACTTCAAATATTGCCAGAATAGAAGAAATGGAGAGGCTGTTGAAACAGGCTCATGCAGAAAAGACCCGACTGCTTGAATCCAGGGTAAGCCTAGTATCTTTCTGGCAGAGTCTGTGCCAAGGCAGCTGGTGTATCAGGAAGCACCTCTCCTTTAAAAGCCTTAATAAAGTTGTGACCTTGGTGTAGTCACTCAGTCTCTTTTCTTATTGGAAAAGTAAAGGTGTTAGAGAAATTATTTCTAAGACTCTTTAACATACCACCATTTTCCATAATTTGAAGTGTACACACAGCATTGACAGAGATTGAAATGGATGATTTGTACTTTTTTTCCACTGTGATGGCAGCTTTGTGTTTTTGCCAAGGAACAAGAATGGCCTGTCATGATGCCTTCCCCCTTCTCTTGCAGCTTGTGCTAACTGCACTATTTTAACATTAAAAATCCTATGTTATTGTGACTGTATTTCAAGCCAGAATCAGAACTTCCTTAGGAATCCCCCCAAATGCCTTTGCACCCTGCCCTGAGGGCACCTCCTTTCCTTTCCTAACTTCCATGTGCTTCCTCTGTGACCTTCAGCCAAGAAAGCTGCAAAACAACCAGTGACCCATGGCCTTCAGTTAGAAGAGCACAGTCCAAACAAAGGCCAAATCTAATGGCTAGAGTCTTAGAATTTGTAAGACTTTTTAATTGTAAATTAAAGAGCTGTGGTCATTAACACAAAATGATTGAATGTATGGATTTTCACCTAAACCAATATTTAATTGTTAATTAAATTTAATGATTGCATTTCTGCATATGGTGAGCTTGAAAGCTAGGCCAGGGGTGATTATGGGTTGTGTTAGCCCTTGTTATATATTTTAAGAGACTAGAATGTAAACCAAAAATCGTCTAGTGAGATTTTTGGTTTTAATACTAGTTTTTCAGTATAAACAAGTATGTCTTCAAATAAGCATTGTTCTGCATAATGATATTTAGGAACGGGAAATGGAAGCCAAAAAACGAGCTCTGGAAGAAGAAAAACGACGCCGAGAAATCCTGGAAAAACGATTACAGGAAGAAACTAGCCAGAGGCAGAAATTAATAGAAAAGGAAGTAAAAATACGGGAGAAACAAAGGGCACAGGTTGGTCCTTCAATCTGAATGCATAAGTGTTGGCTGCCCTCTGGTGGTCATTTTGTAGAAAACAGCTATTCTGTATTTGAGAATGACTTCCTTTGATTGCAGGTTACAGCTTAGCAGAATGGTTAAGAGAAAGATGTGTGTTAATGTATAAAGCACATGAGATTACTTTAAAATTTCTAGAGAACTAAAATGACAGCTTACTTACGTTGAACATGTTGGTGGGAGAGTCACTTTCTTCTACCCATTCTCTGAGCTACATTTTAAAAGAGAATATATATACATCTATATGTGTATGTATACCTCTATGTATCATCTATCTGTCTATCTATCTATCTAAACAACTTTGAAAAATGTTACCATATTGGCTGCTGGAAACAATACAATGCCTAAACTAAAACATTCAGTTAAGAAAAAGAAAGATTCTATTATGCCATCTTTTAGGAGCAAACATACCAAAACAGGATAAATTTTACCAGTCCAATTTCTTGGTGGTATTGCTAGTATTTCTTTTCTTTTTGTAACCACCACTTTATCACATGTGTCCCTTTTGCTATACATTCTATTGGCAAACTCAAGCCAAATTCAGGAAAACCAATCATTTTGTTTAACTTCCTAACTTGGTTATCGTAGATTTGCAATCTCTGTTCCTATTACTATTAGCTTCTTGTATAATATACACTCTGTATTTTCTAAGGATCAAATAAAATATTAAATAAATAAAATTACTACATACTTGAAGGTCAAATCGATTTTATCAAAGTTGGTCATTTATCTAGTACACTCAAAAGCAAGGGGAATCATTTCACTTATTCTTTTCAGTTACTGGCTGTTAGATAATACAGCAGTTAGGGATTATCTTTAAAGCTTTGTGTGATTTTAGGTATTGGTAAACTTGTGGCACCTGTCTAAAAATCAAAGATAAAATAGTGAATAGAGATGGAAAGTAACACTTGTTCATTTGATTTCATTATGCCCAACCTCTGCCAAATTCTAATTCTCAGTGAAGGCCATCCATGCCTAATTAATCTCTGAAGCCAAACCAAAAGGCACAATTCTATTTTAATCCTCATTATAAGTTTTGCCTCCAAGTATGTGATTAGATCATTGTCCCCAGGACTGAAGGGCTGGGTTATTTAACAGAATAAAATAAAGCAGCATTGAAGAACCATCACCCATGGTGATATGTGCTTCTTGGATTAGATGAGCCTTGGCCCTCACTGTTGGTAAAATCAGAGGTACTGGAAAACATCCCCTTGGCCTCTCCTCCTGGACAGCTCATTACATTAGATCCAGCTCTGATACTGCATCTAACTTTATTTGAACTTCATTTTTCAAAACATACCCCTCTGCCTTCAATTTCTAGCAGATAACACCCTGATAGAAAGCTGATGTTTACAGCTCCGTGGACTTTCTTGGGTCTCTACTTACTCAATAGCATTTAATAAAACATGCCAAGTCTGGGATTACTTAAGGAGAACTGTTGTTAAATTGTGGCAGGGAGAACTCCTGGAAACTTGCCAGTGGAGGAATCCCGGCGTGCAGGGAGCAGCCCAGATAACTTCATGCTTCACTTCACGGTGTTAAATGCTAAGTACCACTTTGAAGCTTCAAAAACAACAAAACATTTTTCTATTCCCTCATTTTCTTATCTCAAGGAATAGAACCTATTAGCCTGAATTTATCCACTGTTTCCTACTCAACATTCTATGTACTTTTTAGTCTTTGCTTTGTTTATCATGAGATCTTGCAATTCCATGGGCTTTTTTTAGGGGTGGGGGCGGTACTGGGGTTTGAACTCAAGGCCATGCTCTTCATAGGCAGGTGCCCTACCATTTGAGCCACACTTCCAGCCTTTCCATGGGCATTTCAGACCTTAGGCCCTGATTTTAAACATCTGTAAAGTGAAACAAATAACTATCTAAGGACGGAATGGCTTCGTCACTTTCCAGGCTCGTCCTTTGACGCGCTATCTGCCTGTCCGAAAGGAAGACTTTGACCTGCGGAGTCACGTAGAGACAGCTGGCCACAACATTGACACCTGTTACCACGTCTCCATCACAGAAAAGACCTGCCGAGGATTCCTCATCAAAATGGGTGGAAAAATTAAAACTTGGAAAAAACGTTGGTTTGTTTTTGATCGGAATAAAAGAACATTTTCTTACTATGCAGGTAGGTGATTAAAAACAAATTGAAGTGCTATGTTTGAATCTATTAAAGAGCAAGGCAACTGAAATTCAGTAACCTGTAGTCCCCAATGTGGGCAACATGGTGCAGATCCTGTCTCAAAAGAAAGAAAACCAGAAATTAAATATAAGCAGATAGGTTGGTGAGTGATAAAGTTAATGGCAATATTAGCTTCATATATGTATGTTATTTTATATTCAGGTTATATAGTTTAATATGAATTTCTTTTCTATAAATAATAAAAATCATGTTAGTTTAAACGTGTGAATTAGTCTATTCTAGTTCTGAAATAAACTGCAGTCCAAATATATTGAATGGAATTTATTTTTTGCATTAAACTATTGCCCTTTAAATTACAAGGCCAGGAAAGGGTTTTTTTTTTGCCATATGTTCTATTTAAATCACACATAATTAGCAGCTGTAGCTGACAGTTATTCAGCTTTAGTTTACAGGCTGGTATGATCTTTTAAGTACAGAGAGAAAATCTCATCAGTAAACTAGTGAATAAGTAAGCATTTATTAAGTCTCTGAAACATTTTTAAATTATTAAACACTGCATTATAAGAAACATACCCTACTTAATCTTATATAAATACATGAATATTAGTGTAACTGGCACACTTATTAAGAAGCCTTTTATTTACTCTTGGACCATATGTGAAACACGAGTCTGGCTCTGCCGTGTGTCCAACTGCTGTTGAGGAGTGGTGTCGAACTGATGTCATGCTGACTGTGTTAGTCCTCATGAGCAGTGTCAGGAGTTGCTATAAACTGTGTCAATGTGATAAATGTAAAGTAACAGTTCAGTCATTTTATCTATCTGGTGAGGTCAGATGTGAGAAGGAGTAAAGGAAACCACTGGCCCAGGAGGCCCAGAATGGGGATAGGGAACAGGCAGGGCACTGTGCCTTTTAGCGAGGGACTCTTTGGGTGGTCTCTAGTTGCTTCAGAAGCCAGCAGCTGAAGCAAATGGCCTGTACCTCACAGGTCCCTGTTTTCCTCTCTAGGGCTTTCTGACCTTGGGTTTTATAAAAACCCAGAGCATCTCTTTTCAGTTAGTATACTAGAAAAGATGCCTATTTAATAAGAAGTCCAATCAGTGTCGGAAAAATGCATGAACAAAATTTTTCAGTGTTCTAGTCCCCATAGGCAACCTCACCAAGAGTTTTGATAGTAAAAATTTAAAAGACCTTCAGAACAGCTTCACATCCTCCTGTATTCTGTGAACCTTATTTCATTTTGTCGTTCATCAGCCATGTGACTTGGACAGCTCCCTGAGCCACCTTCTTCAAACCTATGTCCTTCCAACCCATGCAAATGCTTTTTCCAAATTAAAGTTCTGGGTGACTGGTTTTCAATTTTATTTTAAATATCAAAACCTTGTTGGCATGTAAAAGATCACTCAGACCCTTAATACTTAAAATGTTTTCATCAGCTTTTTAATATTACACATGATGTAACTGAGCTGTGAGACCTATTTGGACAAATGCTGTCCATTTGGCTCTGTTTGCAGCCATCACCCATCAGCTTTGTCTGCTGTCACTCCTGCCCCATCCCTTTTGCAAACACAGGCATAGTCTCCATCCAGACATCCTGATTGTAGCACAGGCTGTCTGAGACCCTACAGCTTGCCAAAAGAGGTAATGGCTTTGTGTGCACAAAGGAGCTGCAAATGTGAATGCTGAAAGCTAAAAAAAAAAAAAAAAAAGCCCCAGGCCCCCATTTTGTGTATGACCCTGGCTTCTGACCTTGGCTCCTGTACATTAACTGGGAACTTTAGGAGAGTCTGTAAAGAAAGTGGAGGTGCAGGAACCATGTCTGTGTTGATGGAAATCAATGCTGTTGGAAGAGGCAGAATGAATGGCATTATCTCATCAATGCACAGAAGCATTATCGATCCCTTTAGCTCAGGCTTATGTTTCAGAGTGGTTTCTCACTAATGATGCAAACAAAAGCTTCATTCCTGAGTTTTCTGCCTGCTTGAAATGCTGACATTTACTTTTATCTCCAGTTTTTATTTTAATCCATTTTGAGAAAACAAGGTATTAGTGTGTTCCCATGAATCATAGAAAGAATCCTTCCAGCAAATGTTTGAGAGATACACTGACCTTCTCTCTCACTGAAACTGGTTGGACCCCACTGAGCATGACATTAATTAAAACAATATTTCCCAAGAAAGAACAAAAGCAAACACATAAAAATATGGTTCATAGTCAAAAAAGAAAGGAAAATTCTGAGTTCAATGCAATTGAATGTATTAAGTCTATCTTCTATGAAACTTCTCTGGGCCATTATTTTTCAAACTAGCTTTTTGCCAGTATTGGAGAAAGACAGCATGCACTTAGTAAAAAATTCAAAATATAATGAAAGTAAATCTCCTACCACAGAAGTTCTGACCTGCTCCCACTGTTCAATCTGAAATGTTCTTTCAGATTTTCTCTACTCATTTTATGTTTCATTATGGATATATATGTATATATACATATACATATACATACATATATATACTAATTTCTTTTATACAATTTGGAACCAAAATTATTCAGTCTATTTGCACCCTATTTCACATGACAATAACTCAAGATTTCCTTTTCTTCCTTTTTTTTTTTTTTTTTTCTGAGACATGATCTCCTAGTCCAGACTGGCCTGGGACTCACTATGTAGCCCAGGCTGGCCTCAGGGAGATGGGATTACAGGTATGCTCTACCATTCCCTTTGGGAATAAATAGGTATGCCTTAGTCATTTCAGTGGCTCTCCAGACACCATTGCCTGGCTGGCCTGCAAATAAGCAACCCTCTCTTAAAACTCAGCAGATTTCTTGCAGCTGTGCATCACAATAAACATAGATCGTGGGCTTCTGTACATGTGAGTAGATTTTACACAGTAAGGTTTTCAAGTGTAATTGCTGAGTAGGAGGATTTTTTGCATTTTTAATTGGGTTTGTTTTACTAATTGCCTTCCAAAAGAGGCCATCTGATTTGCATTTCCACCAACAAGATATGACAAAGTCTCTTTCCTTGCTTCTTCCACCATACTTTTAAAATTCTTTAATATACTCACATTCATTATGATCCTTCGAAGTTTAAATTATAAAATACTTCAAGAACTTAACAGATCACAGAGTGGTGCTATTTGGTTGATGTTTTGGTTAGTTTTGTTCTTTTGCTAAATATGATAAACTTTTGGAAATGTGTTTAGGAAATGCACTGAAAGGACAGTAAATTATTGGCATTTTCAAGTTCTGTTGAAAATGGGGAGAAATGGAGCATGCTGGACAAGCTTGACAGGAAAGAAATATAAGTAGAATGTTATTTAAATTATAAGTAAAACACACACACTTAAAATTTCATTACAACAGATCTGCATATTAATAGTTCCATTACAAAGACAGTCTTGGAGAGTATGGGCAGTGATTTGTGTGAGTGCCGGTAATGTTTATGTTTTGAATGTTAACTGGATAGTCTGCAATGCTGGCTTATCTTTAACTGCTAATTTGCTAAAGATCCTTGGACAAAGTCATTGATTCTCTTTGGTTTGTAGCTGAGAATTTCATGGTTTTCTTTTTTTATATAGAAATAGGGCTAATGTACTAACTCAGGTTATCTGACTTAATCTTAGATAATTTAAATGCTAAATATTTTAATATATTTTAATGATAAGTATCATGAGATTATCATTTTCCTTTTCATCAGTGCTAATAAAGTATTTGACACTTATCTATCTTTGCAGATAAGCATGAAGCTAAATTAAAAGGAGTAATATACTTTCAAGCCATTGAAGAAGTGTATTATGATCACCTCAAAAATGCTAATAAGGTAAACATAAGTTCCCTAAATTTCTGCATAATTTGAATGCATAAATGAGGAAAATGTATTTGAATATTTTAAGTAATTTAGATGTGGTATTCTGGCATAACAGATATGATCAGAGTGGTGCTGGAAAGTTAACATAGAATAAGTCAGATAGCTGGTTCTTTTTGAAGGGAAAAATGTCATGGTGAAGTGAGGAACTATTCTAGAATGTATTGGTTTGGGAAACCTTGCAAAGTGACTGTAAGCATTCTGGAAAGAAGCTACGACACAGTTATGTGGATAACTTATAGGATCTTAATAGAGCTAAGAAAAACAGCTGCTCTTCAGTAAGCTCCTTTCATCAGCAAGGACCATATTTTACAAACTAGTCACTAAGAGAATTAGTGAGCTCTGGGTGAGACTGCTTGTGTAAACTGGCCAGAATGATGGTCAGTATTGAGAAAGGTGTTGAAAGCAAGGGTGGGAGCTACAATGGAGCACAAGTAATACCTGCAGAAATTGCTGTCAATAGGAACTTATAAAGAGGAAGAAACCTTCACATATATCTGTGCTATTTAATGTTCTAGTTACAAGATGTTTGACACTCTTTTTCTTTTTGAATTTTAGAGTCCTAATCCATTACTCACCTTTAGTGTCAAGACGCATGACAGAATCTATTACATGGTGGCTCCCTCACCCGAAGCTATGAGGATCTGGATGGATGTTATAGTTACCGGGGCAGAAGGTTACACTCACTTCCTGCTGTAGTGTACGGGAGCACAGTCCACTTCAGGGCAGACTGCAATAACCTCTTATAAGAATGAAGCCATACCAGATGCAATCCCATATAGAAAGACCTAATGGACCCATCCCTTTAGCTGTGTGCACTCAACTATTTTCATATTGAGAAGTCTTTTATAAAAAAAAAATTAAAAGATGGGATTTTAATTCAAAGCTTGATCTAAACAGCAAAAGAATCGAAGCTCCTGTGAGAAATAAATACGATTTTGATAAATGCATCACTTATACAAACATTTCTTATGAACTATTTTTTATCAGTTGATTTTGGTTAAAGAAACTAAACAGTTTACAAAATGTATGTATATATGTACTTGGAAATTTAGGATTATTTTAGCATCCAAATCATTGCTATTGACAATATTGATAATCAACTGATTTTTTGTTTTAGAAAGTAGATTTTCTGAATATGAGCAAATAAGGACTTGAGGAGGAGTATGTTTTAGGAGTTTTGCCTTAATTTTTCAAGTACTGCACCAAAACCAAAGACTTAGCATGACTTCTGTTTAGCAGTTTCAAGTAATGAACTGCATTTAAGTGTTACTCTGTACTTTAAAATGGTATTTTATATTTTGATGCCATGAAGTGCCCATGAAATTGACTTTTCAGTGTCAACTCCAGCATAAGCCACTGTACATATATAGTAAACCACTTTTTGTAAAAGAGTAACAAAAAGCTGTGTGTTTTAGAAAAAAAAAGCCATCATGGACAACATTCTGTCACATTGGGCAATTTTAAATGAAGAGAATATTTGGTGTTAGGAGTTTGTTTTGCTAAAGATTTTTCCATTCCCAGTGCTGAGAAAAAAGGCAACCAGTAGCCAATTTCCTTTTTCTTTCCTGATTTCTCTTTGCTATGAAGCATTATCTGCTCATTGTACCCTCACCCGACATAATTATGAAATCATGTCTCTTGTTTTCATCAAAGAACAAAGCAATTAAAATACACTGTTTTCAGAAGTGGTGTAGTTCTACAAAAAGGCAAGGAAAATTCACCTTAACATTCTGTATAATATCTTATGTATTTCTTTACAATTAACCTTTGTGTGTAGAGTTAAATTAATTTTTATTGGATGAAATGACTTCAGGCAAGTCTCTTTTATAAGGGTTTTTCAAATGTCATTTATTCTAGCTTTCATGTTTTGTGTGATTGTAAATATGAATGTATTCTTTCCCAAAACATGGCAAATGAATGGAAGTAAAACATAATGATGTTACTTACTGGTACACGTAAAGTGACTAGAAGTGTCTGTAAAACTTTGTCAGGCCTGACTGGGTACATTTTTAAAAAAAGTTTTGCAGTGTAGTTTTATATTTGTGTACACATTGCCAATAATAAGATTTTGCAACTGGATGATACAAGATTTTACTTGAACAATGAAGGACAAAAATCATGATCGTAGAAGACATTTTTAAAATCTGGTTTTGCAGAGATGACTCTTGACCCCTGCAATGATCTAAGACAATGAAATGCAATTGCTAAGATTTTGTTGGTTAATATAAAGATACAGCTTTTCTGTACTGTACTTTCTTCATAGATTTGTAAGGTATTCTAATCAACTTGCATGTTATAAACCTTTTAAATATATATATTAAATATATTGAGTTTGGATTAAAATACATTGAGTTTGGACCTGATTTCCCATTTGAAAGTAAAGTCTTCTTTCATTTGGAGATTGCGTGTCTGTAGGATGGAGTATGGAGCAATCAACAAGTCAAGTGTAGAATTCACATACAGGTTGTTATGTGCTAATATCAAGATTTGTAGTTATAAAAAGCTAAAATAATTAGAAGTCTCTTGGTCACATTCCTATTGCTTACAAAATAAGGTGAATCCTGAAAAAAATCTGACATTTTATTTTTCTGTTTTTGCACTGATGTAGTTATTACTAGTGATTGGGAGGACTATGTTATCCTTTTATTGAAAAGGGGGAAAATCATGCAAATGTGAAGTAAAACCCTGGAGTTTTGCTTGAAGGGGACTTCGTCTCCCTGAACTAATAAACAGGTTTCAAGAAAGAGAGAGGAACTGCTTTTAACAATATATTCTTCTACCCCTCTTTATGTTAATGAAGGAAACATTGACAGTAGGTATCCAGAGTGGAAACAAACTGCTCTGTTGCAAGCCCATCACTGTAGATAAAAGTATCTTCACTTGCTACCAGCCACGTATGTTCCTGATTTGTTGGACTAATAAGAATGAATAGAGAAAATAATCTGTAGGTTTGCTGCTTTTCCCACTATGATAACACTTTCTTGCACATAATATTCAAGAAGACCTGCAAAAATAAGGGGAAAGATAAGGAAAGGAATGATTAAAATTATTTGCAATTAGCCAAAAGCTGCAAGAAGAGTTTGTTAAGATAGAAGCAATGGTGGTGACATTCACTGGAGTGATACTTTTTTGGACTCTACAACAGGCCTAATAGAGAACCAGCAAAATAAGTATCTGTCTTTATTTAACTGGGAAAAGCCTGGTTCAACTGCTCCTTATGAGGCCAGTTACTGGAGAAAGAATGATGGAAAAAGAGCTTTATTGGTAATAAGCTGGCAGGTAGGGCCTTTACTCAAATTCCAAAAGATTTTATGGGGTTTCTGGGGAGTCTAAATTGCACCAGGTAGGTACTAGAATGATCATTAGTTCTTCAGTAATCAGTTCTCTTTAAGTGGTTTCATTCTAATCTACAGGTCATCAGGAATTCTTGTGAACTTAAAAGAAGAGGTCCTATGAGGAGTGTTTGTTCTTTGATGTTTTCCCTTATCCTTTACAGGCAAGGCTGACTTTATTAGTTGATTAGTTGGGGAAAGAGGCATAGGGAAGTGAGGCAAAACAAAAGCAGTGGAAAACAGACATGCTAGTGGTAGGAGTTAACTCATCCATCAGCTTCAAGTATTATATATGCTTCCTATGTGAAAGGTATTATGCCTCTCAGTCTTTATTAACATAACTTTTCCAGTGTGTCCCAACAGGATAGATTCTCAGGACATCAAAGACAGTATGTCCAGCTTTGATGTTTACTCTGGCACCAGTTACTGCTCCAAACTTTATAACCAGGATAGGAGCAGTTTTACACAAAGTTTTATACCAACCACAGTAACTTTAAGCAGAAAATACTAGATAAAGTCTTAGCGTTTGATGTTTATGGCCCCAAGAATTACTTTGAAGCACATTAGAGGTGAGGTTCAGAAATGCTTGTACCAAAATTTACTCAATTATATTTCTACTGTCATTCAATTTTTTCTTCTGTTTTCCTTTAAAAATGGTGCTAGGCTGGGGGCATGGCTACAGTGGTAAGGCACCTATCTAACAAGCAAACCCTAGTACGGCCAAAAAAAAAAGTGGTGCTGATAGATGATACTATGCATCCTTGTGACCTGCTGTTCTTTTTCTATAGGCAATCACTAAGGGGGGCACTGAAAATTATGCGTATTTCAAGTTGCAATAAGTGTGGTCAGACTACTTGACAAAGGATTTTAGAATCCTAGAAACCATACATGAATAACAATTTCCAACACCTTTGCCAATAGTTGGCTCTTTTTAGTTTTTGCTAATCTGATGGGTGAAAAATGGCCTATATTTCTAACTCACATTTTTTCAATTAGTGAGGCTTCACGTTTACTCATGAACTGCTTATTTATGGCTATCAGCCAATTTTATTTGAATTATGTTTTTTTCCCTTATTTCTAGGAGTAGACTGAATAGTACTAATGCATCCATACTGCAACCTATTTTGCTAAGTTCTCACTTGTCTTAAAAGGTTAAAATTTATTAAATATGAATTAAACTTGCCATTAAAATGTTTAAACTCAATCAAACGTGTGTTAAAAATACATTTAAAAAGTATTAAATTGTTTTAAAAATCTCTATTCCTAGACTATATTTTAAATTTTATTTAATTCTCTTGGTTTTTTTCTTCCATTGAGCTCAGTTTATTTACTGAATTTTTTTTTTTTTTTTTTTTTTTTTTGCATATGGCAAGAGGCAGTGGTCAGGATAACCCAAGAATTCAGTGGTCAGGCACTTAAAACCTCTTTTAACAATGAATACGAACTTCAAAAATGAAGGGCAGAATTGTAAAACAGGTCCTGTGAGGGGGTGGGTACTTGCGGGAGGGGAGGGTGAACGGAGGGTGAATATGTCGACGTACTTTATGTGCTTACTTGGAACAGAACAATGAAACCCGTAGTAATTATTTTAAGGGGGGGAGTGAGGGAGAGAGATGGTGGGGGCATACTAAACCAAGGCATATTGTAAGCATATGCGAAAATGTTACAATGAATCCCTCGGTACAACTAATACATACTAATAAAAATGTTTAAAAAAAAAACCCTAGGAACTGAAAGGTGGCGAGGAAGGGCAAATACGATTGAACTCCAAAGGTTTACACACATCAAGACTAAGGTCGACTTGAACGCCTTTCCAGGACAGGTTTAAACAGTCATGGGGCTTGAGCTAGCGTTTCCTGTCTGCTCCCTAGGGCCCTCGCGATCACGAACCGGTTTCCTACCAAGGACCCGAGTTTCCAGCAGCCACTGAGAAGAAAACCTCCTGAGGCCACTCAAAATATTCCCAACTGTCACAGGTGTAAAAACACTTCCTAAAATGAGAAGCGGCAACTCACTATCAAAGCCTAGAGAAACAACGCCGTACGCATGCGCACTTCCGCGCCGCTTGAGGCGCGTGACGCAATTCAGCAGGGTCCCCCTTCCAGCGGACAGCGCATGCGTACTCTCTGACCTCCGCAACCTGCGCGTCTCTGTAGGACAGCGCGGACTCAAGGGCGGCTGGGAAGATGGCGGGCAAGGGGTTGTCAGCTGTGGCGTCTTGGGTACCCTGCCGGAGCTGGGGCTGGGCAGCCGTCCCCTTTAGCCCGCAGCGTAGCCTCCTCTCGTTGCTTGCACCGAAGCCCCCGCGGGCGCCCTTTTGGCTCCCAGGTTAGTGCCCGGGTGGCGGGAGGAAGATGCGTTCTTTCCAGCGCTCGGCGTTCGGTCAGTCCCTGTAATGCGTTTCGGCGCTCCATTCAAAGGTGCTTTTTTCCCTTCCCAGAGCTTGGGCATCCTTGGAAGCTCGGGTCCTTGCAGTGTTTTACACTGCAGTTAGGGATCGCCTTCCCTCTGCCAGCCTGCCTTGTCTGTATTAAACGCCAACCCCTGGAAGGATTAAAATGTGCATTTAATGCATTTGCATATTAGCTGGTTCTAGGGCTTTACAGAGCACTGCTCAAAAATATTTATCCCTGCCCTTCCTTCACTTAAGGACATTTAAAATAGCCATGTTCTTTGTTAAGTGTACGTGCTCTTATAGGGGGAGGCGGCGGTACTGGGGTTTTGAATTTAAGGCCATCAGCGCGCCTACCACTTGAGCCGGTCCAGACGCGTTTTACTTTGTCTTTCAGAGAGGATCTAGATCTTGTTGCCCCGCTGTCCTACAATAGTGATCGCCCTGCCTGCTTCTGCCTCCCGTGCACCGGGATCACATATGTTCATCACCACACCAGGCTAGTTCTTTGAGATAGGGTCTGGCTGGTTTTGTCCAGGCTGGTCTGGAACCGCCATCCTCCTCCTGTCTCTGCCTCGCAAGTAGCTGGGATTACGGCTGTGAGCCATCATGCCAGTCTGTAGATGCTCTTTTTAAGCCTAATTTCAAATTTTGCCTTCTGGATGCACCCACCCAATGAAAAAGCCATAATCATTACTCTAAAGGAAACTAAAAACTTGGAGCAAAAATTAGAAGATTTTATATATGTATGTGATTTCTATCTTTGACTATCCTTACGTTTAAATAGCTGATCTTTGAATATCCTTTGTTTTTCACACCCTTGTCATACAGCTGTAAGATGCAACGTACTTTTAATGGTAATGAATGCCATCACAGAGACCATTGTTTCCAGTTAAAAATTTTTAAATCATACCAGTTTAACTTACATTTAACTGCACACAACCAATAATAAGTACAAGTACTGTAGCAAAGTATAGTGTGTCATAGTTATTTTTTTTGGCGGTACTGGATTTTGAAGTCAGAGCCTCATGCTTGCTAGGCAGGCACTCTACCACTTAAGCCACTCTACCAGCCCTTTTATATGTGTGTTGAGTATTTTCAAGATAGGGTGTATCATTTGTCCAGACTGGCCTGGAACCTCACAAGTATCTGGGCTCAGCCACTGGCACTTTTGTGTTTCAGTTTATTAACAAGAGTAAAATATTCTTTTATCTATTGAGAAAATGTTCATTGATTATTTGTGCACTAGGCTTTCAGCTGGTCCTTATGTTGATTTGCATATGTAAGATTAAAAAGCTGTCGACTTTTTACCCACCAACATTAACTAAATTGTAATTGTCTCAGTGAAATCCCATATTGGGAGGTAATATATGGAAGAGGCTAGAAAGGATTTTAGGTTTTTTTTTTTTTTTTTTTGGTGGTACTGGGACTTGAACTCAAGGCCTATACCTTGAGCCACTCCACCAGCCCTTTTTTGTGATAGGTTTTTTTGAGATAGGGTCTCGAGAACTATTTCCGTGGCCTAGCCTCAAATTGCGATTGCCCTCATCTCTGCCTCCTGAGTAGCTAGGATTACAGGTAAGTGCCACAAGGGCCTCGTTTTTTTAGTTTTTAACTAGGAAATGGGGAATGAACATTGTTGCTCATACAACCTACTGATCAGCATAACTGACCCCTACTAATCCTGTTTTTCACCAAAGGTTTTTAAATTTGATGCATTTCTCTGTGCTCTGAAACAGACTTACCTGTAAAAGGAATAGCTTTAAGGCTTTTTAACGAACTTGACAAATCCAAAGAGGGAAGACTTTAGAAACACACATGAAAGAGAACGAGAAGTTTTCATTAGCCATAAGAAAGTTGAGAAAGGCTTTATTTAATACTAAAAGATTTGTTGGTCCAGAAAAACTGTACAGGAGTACATAACCTAATGTCTTTGGAGGAAGGAAGTAGGATTTTGAAATAGGGAAAACATTTTAAAAACAATGAAATGAAGTGACCTTGAAAGGTTCACCATTTGTATTGTACTTACCCATAAGATGCTATGTACCATTTACCAAAAACCAAACCCAACACAAATAAAGCACAAAGTGATTTCTGTGAGAAATCTTATGTTATTCAAGACCATTTATAAGAAATTGCTTATTGAGCCCTTCTCAGCTGACATAAAATTATGAAGACATGTTACCATGACTCATGATTTCATGTGTGGGGTAAGTGAATGGGAGTCAGTAGTACAAGGAGTTCAGTACTTCTTCTTTGAAATAATTTCCCAAAGGCAAAATAAACCTTCCCCCCATCACACATACACCAGCCCCCAAAAGTAGAGGGTGTGAACCTTCTGAAACATTAAAAAGCAAAAAAGAGGGTAATCTCACAAGACAGGGCTGAAACTAGTATACTTCAATCTGAATGTTGATTGGTACTCTTTAGGATGGATCTATAGGTACAATAGGAAAATAGTTTTTGATGAGTCTCTATCTTTTGCCTTGAAATTTCTACCTCGTGTTTTGGAAGAATTATGGTTGGACCTTGCTCTTTTAAATTATTATTATTATTATCATTATTATTATTATTATTTTTGTGGGACTGGAGCTTGAACTCAGAGCTTCATGCTTGCAAAGCAGGCACTCTACTGCTTGAGCTACTACTGCAGTCCATTTCGTTCGGGTTATTTTTGGAGACCTATGTGCCTCAAACTCGTTCCTTTCCATCTTAGCCTCCCAAGTAACTATGATTATAGACACGAGCCACCAACGCTTAGCTAAAGTGACTTATTTTTTACACAACTTTAAAACCAAAGGTCTCATGCACAGACTTAATTATAGTACTTTGAGTCTGCTCTGGTTTTCCTATCAATGAGTTGAAAGTTGTGATTGAAAATATATATGATTTTCCAAAAGTTATTTGCAAACTATAATTTATGTTTTGTATACTTTGTTTAGCTTGCAGACAAAAGACATCACTCTCTTTCCTTAGTCGACCAGACCTTCCAAACCTGGCTTATAAGAGTCTAAAAGGCAAAAGTCCAGGAATTATCTTCGTCCCTGGCTATCTTTCTACTATGACTGGTACAAAAGCATTGGCGATTGAGGAGTTTTGCAAATCTCTAGGTCATGCCTATATAAGGTAGGAATAATATATTTCAGAGAATATATCACTAATATAGCATTGTGATGGAAAATTACCTCTGCTCTAACCAATTGAAGTAAAATGCCAACAATTTTATAGACAAGTTTATTTTAGTGATCTGTAAACTTCCTTCTTGTGATTTAGAGTTTTTATAAAAGTAACCTTTGCAAGACCTATATTAAAGGTCTTTGTGACACAGTGATGGTACTGTCAGGAAAACACATCTTAAGGGAACAAGTGGTAACTAAGTTCTTTAGATACAATAATCTGTGTGACAAAAACAGCTATAATAGTTGGCTCATCTCTTGTAATTATATTGTGGTTTTCCACTAGACAAATTATTTGATCACTGTTTATTACCTTCTAAAATGCATAGTTAGGGCTGAAGGTGTAGCTAGGTAGCAGAGTATGTGTTTAGCTTACACAAGGCTCTGGTTTCAGTCCCCAACACCATACAAAAAAATGTATTTAAAGATAATATAGTACTGTTAAAAGTACTGTAAAACTAGTATAATTAACATTTCTGCTGAGTTCTCTCTTTATCCCTCACTCCTGTAAGCAGAATGTATATGAGCATAAGTAGGGATAGGTGGTTACCATTTAACTAAAATTTAATTTTATAATTCCTAATCTTTCATACTGATAATTATTGTAGTAAAACAACATGCTCCCTTTGTTGCTGAGTTTATCCAGTCATTTGTTTAGTGTCTTAATTTGCTGGGAACGGGGGGAGGAGATATGATTTAATAGAAAGCATTGATGTGAAATTAAAGAATTATGGGTTCTGAAATAAATTCTTCCTATAACTGACAAGTATGCTAATAACCACTTGGTGTAATATTGTCATCCAGTGAAAGGAGGTTGGACTAAAGGTAGTTTCTTAATTCTCTAGCACTGACAGCCTTAAAATCCATTAGTCTAAATTATTAGCGTAGTTTCACTAGTATTCACTCAGTAGTTTTAGAAAATTCAGTTATAGGTAAGACTTTTAGACATTATCTGTTCATTGTATTAGTAGAAATTATGTCAATTACATGGATTTAGTCTAATTCCTTTTATCAGATTAGCAGAATTTTTTTTCATGCTTAGAACTTGTTCTAAGATCTCTTCTTACTAAACAGTGAGTACTGTATGTTTAGGAAATAGACTATCTTAACACCATACTGGGTGCTGAATAATATTCTAAGAATTGTAGAACATTGCACTTGCCCTTAAGGATTTTTCAGAGTGAAAAATACAATTGAGAAATTAGTCAGAAATACTCATTATTATGTGGTTAAGGATCAAGAGACGTATACTTAATTACATAAGATGAAAGAAAGAAAACCGAGGGTGGGAACAGATAGAAAAATTTCATAAAGGAGCACTGAAAAATAGTTAAGATAAGTGTAAGAGGGAAATGCTACCCAGGGAGGGAGACTACCCCAAGAAGCAAATCAAAATACCAAAATATTCTTACCACTCTCCTGTGCCCCCAAGTGAATTTGAATCAAGATATCACCATTTTACTGGTTTTGGATTTCAGTTGAGACTATGAGTGCTATAACCAGCTCTTATCTCCCTGTAAGACACAGTATAGGTTTTCTGCATTTTAATGTTAATTATACTTTTTATAAAGTATAGCCCCTTGACTATAAGTTTTTAACTTGATCAAGTTCCTTTTTATTTGCTCTTGTCAAAGTTCCCTTCAGTCTAATCACTATTAACTATTTATTGCATTTTAGTTTATTATAAGAGATTACTTCTTATATTTTCTAGTTTCTCAATTTACTTTTATAGTGACTTTTGCTGCAAAATTTAGATCTTGACAATGAAGTGATTAGTTTATTATACAGGAAATGGTATACATGGTCATATGAGAATGGTTTGTCAATGTCCTGTTGCCTTGCTTAAAATATAATTGAGTCACAGTGTTCACAGTGTTTTTAATTTGGTACTATGTTCCTGAAGTATTGAGGCTGCTAGGACAGAGATGGCTTAAGTCTTAAAAGTGCTGAATTTGTATCTTTTTGTCTTGGGATTAAGGTTCAGCAAGAATGAACTACCCCCCTCTTTTTTTGTACTTGTAACTTATTAGCATCATGGAAGGTTTATACAGACATACCTCATTTTATTGCGGTTTGTTTTATTGCGCCTCACAGATACTGATTTTTTACAAATTGAAATTTATGGCAGTCTAACCTCAAGAAGTCTATCAGCTTCATTTTTCCAGCAGATCCGATTATTATTAGCATTTTTTAGCAATAAAGTATTTTTTAAATCAAGGTATGTACTTTTTATAGGCATAATGGTATTGCAGTATTGGTAGATGTATGCAGTATTGTAGACGTAATGGTAGACTATAGTACTGTATAAACGTAATTTTATATGTACTAGGAAACCAAAAAAATTGGGTGACTCTACTGTGATATTCACATTATTATGGTGTTGTGGAACTAAACCTGCAGTATCTTTGAGGTATGCCTGTATTTTCCTTCTCACTACATATTTGGAAGGCAATTGTAAGAGATGCACATGCAGCAGTGTCTAGTTGTCCACCCAGGAGAGGGAAAAGGAAATCAGCTGATCTCTTCTTCCTTTGTATCCCTAGTCTGTCTGGTAGGTACCCTGACAGTGGGAAGCAGTAACTGTGATTTGGACAACAGCAGCATCTTGTTCTCAAATCTAAAGAAACTTTTAATTTCTTCTTCCTTTCATTGTGTATAAATCCTAAGGAAATACACATATACTGTGTATCATATACCTGTTTTTCATATACACTAGAAAACAGATTTTAAGAATCAGGAAAACAAGAAAGCTTTAATATTTAAATTCAGTAGTTTTTTAACTTTTGCCTTCCAGTTTTATTCATTTATTGGATATTGTTATCCTCAGTGTGTAAAGTTTTCGTGCCTAGGCACTGTTTCTTCATTCTCTGCATTCTTCGTGCAGAGACAAAAATCCTTTCCCCTCCAGTATCTAACAGTCTAATGGGAATGAACACTCAGCGGCACGCATGTGCATACACACACACACACACACACACACACACACACACACACACACACACACACACACACACATTCTTTCTCTCTTTCACTTTGTCTTAGAGACCAAGACAATAAATTGCCTGTGACTGATAAAAATGAATGCTATGGAAGCTTCATGAGGGAAAATTTCTTTCCGTCCATCTGAACCAAAAAAGGTTCATTTGGACTAGGTTCTAAGAGAGGATATTAGTTTGAAGGTAATGGGAGAGGGTATTCCAGGTGAAGGAAACAAGACGGTGAGGTGTGAAACAGGCAAGAAACCACAGAGCCTATTTAAGACCAGCAAATTGTTCAATTAGCTAAAGTAGTATTTTCCTTTGTGAGATGATCAAGGTCAATCTGAGATGAACAGAATATACTGTTTTTAAACAACAGACTAAAGCACTAAATTTTTATTTTGTATGTTGCAAGGGGCAATTAAAGGTAAAGCCTTTGTACTAGTGGGTACAAAGTGGGTCCATTAGGAGTTGAGTCATAGGGTTCATTTAAAAGACTGCTATGATAGTCTAGGTTTAAGATGACAGAGATCTATGTCCAGATACTAGTATGTAATCCCAATACTTGGAGGCTGAGGCATGAAGATGGAGAGTTTGAGGCCAGCCTGGGCCACCCTAAGCAGTGCCTATCTCCAGTAAAAGGATGCTGGTCGTACCAAGTACAAATAAAGGGATGAATGTGAGATGAAATGAGGGATGATGAGATAGTGTTTTATACCCTGGAAAAACAAACTTGAATAACAGAGTTTGCCCTCAAGGAACTGATATTCTAGTCAGGAGGCGGCAAATATTTAAAATTTGATTATAATACAACATGAAAAAATAATCGGGTACACAAAAGAAAGTGACTGATGATGCTAAATGGGAAAAGTTCATGAAGGGAAGAGACATGACAAAGGAAGACTAGGAGCTTAGTGGGAAGAAAGGCATTCTAGGAAGTTTAACAGCATGGAAAGCTCAAAATTATGAAAGGTCTTCTGCAAGGTTTAGGGTAGTTGGTGGGCATGGTGTGATACTTCATGACTTACTTAGTTGGGTCCTTGAAGGACAGGTAAAATTCATCGATTAGACAGACTTTGAGCCTGGACACCTAGGAAGTTGAAAGGGGAAGTGGAAGGGCTTGTGATATGACTTTGATTCTGGTCTTTCCCTCTATTAATTTAGCAAATATGTATTGAACACTTCTCACTTGCAAGGTATTCTACTGAGAAGTAGGAAAACAGTATTAAACAAAACGAAGTTTGTACCTGTCTGGAGCTTCTATTCTAGTGTGGGAAACAGGACATAAATAAATAAATATCTTATATGTCAGGTAAGAATAGAGGTATGAAGAAAATAAACCAGAGTAAGGAAATGAAGAATGATGAAGTACAATTTTAAAGACTGATCAGAGAAGGCTTTTCTGGGGATATAGTATTTGAAGCAAAGACCTGAGTGAGGTGAAGGAGCAATCTAACTGCTATTTGATGATATGCCAGTGGAGGGAAAAGCTGATGATGCAAGAATGTGGATGGCATATACCTTTAACTTCAAGAAGGGAAGTGAGAATATAGTTCAGAAGGCAGAGAGAGAAAACAGTAAGAAATGGGATCACAGAGATGGAAAGCAGAAAAGTATGGTTAGGACTTTGGATTTTATTAAAGATTATAGAAAGCCTTTGGGAGGGTTTATACAAGACATGGCATTTCTTTTAAAAGAATCACTGTAATTACTGTGTGGGAATAGACTATGAGAACGAAAAAAATAGAAATGAGGAGACTCGTTAGGAGACTGTTGCATTGGTCCAGTCAAGTGATGATAATGACTTGGACCAGGCTGACCTGGTCCAACAATGCAGTGGGCGAGAAAGTGATTTGGATGTGGGAGACATTGAAAGTTTGCTGAAATATGCATCGACTGTGAGGTTTTACTATGTTTTAAACATTATGAGGAATGCTTAAATGTACTATGAGGAAGATACTATCTTAAAGATAAAGAAGACAAACTTACAGACATATGTAAACATTTAGGTTTAAATACATATTTTCCCCATTTCCAGGTTTGACTACTCAGGAGTTGGAAATTCATATGGTAACTTAAAAGAATGCACAGTGGGGAAATGGAGAAAAGATGTGCTTTCTATAATTGACGACATAGCTGTAGGACCACAGGTGACTGCTTTTATTTGACTCAATCAGTATTTGAACTATTTCTTTAGATTTGAAAATGTTTTTAATAATTTAAATGTTTTAGCAGTCAACTTTGATAAATAATTTTGATTTAAAATTATTCTATCATTTTCAATTTCAGACAAAATATAAGCAGCAACTTACATTAATCATATAAACTTTATTATCATAATTCTATATTATATACCTAATTGTTTTTACAAAAATTTTAATTGTAATTGAATTTTTCTTTGTGCCAAATGTTAAAAGTCTGGGAGCTATATGTATATGAAAGAAAAAAGTATATACATTTCTATTAACTGCTCATTCCCTTTACAGACAAAAAGAGCTTCCTTTTTGAAACCACACACTTTTTTCTTTTTTTTTTTTAAGATACTAGTTGGATCTAGCCTTGGTGGATGGCTCATGCTTCATGCTGCAATTGCACGGCCAGAAAAGGTCGTGGCTCTTATCGGCATAGCTACAGCTACAGATGGCCTTGTGTCACAGTTTCATCAGCTTCCTGTTGAGGTAAGTCACAAGTCACTTTGGAAGCCCCAGCGTGTACCTCCTGTCATTCTGCTTTCTCTTTCTTTTAATACTTATGTATCTTCTGTTGTGATAATGGCTCATCTTTGGTCTTAGCTGCCTTTCTGTAGTCTCTTTGCTGCATTTAACTATGTAGCCTCTTGTTTTAAGGTTGCCTTCTTTCACAATCCCTTCAAGTCACTCTGCCAAATTGTGTGTGTATGTGTGTGTGTTGTGGTGTGGGAAATCAAATCCAGGACTTGTGCATGCTAGGAAGGTACTTTACTTCTGAGCTATATTTCCAGCCCCCACAATTTATTTTTTAGAAAGATTTTCTTTATTAATTACATTTACCAGTATCAATCATATATCATAATCTCTTTTTGTACCTCTTACATTTACTTTGTGTCTTCTGGGCAATAGTACCTGTTCTTTTTTCTTCTTCTTCAGTAGCTGTTCTTATGACTGTTAAACTGTACTAATCAGTTGTGAAACTATTTTTTTTAACCTGAAAGCAGCCCCAGAACCTCCAGGCAAACATTGACAATCAGAGTTAGCACACAAATAAAATTTGTTGTTTCTGACTTAGTTAGCATTCTTTTTCTACTTCCTAATTCTTTTTTAAAAAGTGCTTTTCATTATTAATATGTTCTTTACCAAATCATGGTAGAAATAAATGGGAAGATAACTAATTTATTAACTTTGTGCTTAGATATCTGTTTTTAAGCACTTTATCTGCAAGAATAAAGAAATAATGAGGAAAGCTGTTTATTTTGTACATTTTTGTTTGTTTTATAATCATTTGAGTTTTTCTCAGATTTTTTCCCCCTAGGGGTCTAAATTCACCTGTGTGGCTGAGATACAGAAACTTTAAAAAGAAAGACAGTCTAGAGCAGTGGTTAAAAAATATTGTCCAGGGCTGGGGTATGACTCAAGTGGTAGAGCACATGTCTAGCAAGCACAACCTGAGTTCAAACCCCAGTACCGCCAAAAAAAAAAAAAAAAAGTATTATCCCCCAGGGAGCAAATTAGCATCAACTGAGAACTGTTAGATGCATGTTCTTGAGCTCTACCCTGAATCAGAAATTGAGAGTATGGGTCTAGTAATCTGTGTTTTTAACAACCCCAGGTGAAGTTTGAGAACTACTGCTACAGAGAATTCAGGAAGAGAGGAGAAGAGAAAAAATAATAAGAATGTGTGGTGTCAGATCGTAGAATGTTACTGACTTTTGCTTCATGTTCTGCATTGAAACTTGTGCCATTTATTTTCTGCTCTATTCTGTTCCTACTTCATGCTGTTCTTAGCTCCTTAAGAAATAGCATTGCCTGCATAGTCAAGAGTCTTCATATGATTTCCTGTCAGGGCTGCTGGTCTTCCTTGCACTTGGCTCTCCTATTTCTCAACTTTATTTTCACCTTTATTTTTCTCATACGTAGTTGCTCAGTTCTCATTCTTTTCATTCCATTGCCTTTTTGTGTAAGCCTTTGACCCCCTTGCTCCATCCTCTTGACTCAGTAACACAGTGATTCTTGTGGTAGGACATTTTCTCAAGGATGTGACACATTGAAAAGGAGTTAAGTAGCACTTTTTTTGGTTACTGGTAAAAGACAAAATGTTTGTAACTTTGTTTTTGTACTGAGTATCCACAGAACTCCGAAGATAAGGTAGATACTCCCTAAGCGACTGAGAAAGACCTATATACAGTCTGCAAATCAGGGCATGTATTTCCTAATCGTAAATCAGATAAGCAAGCGGTTGTTAAGGGAAGCATATTGAGTCCTTGTTAACTTAAAAGCACATGTAAAGGAAAGAGTAGGGACATAGGGACCACTGTCCCTTCTGCACACAAACAGCTAACACTAACAATGTCAAGGGAGCTGAGGTAAAGAACTTTACCAACTTTCATAAGCTTGGGGCTGCTTAGCCCAGCATTTCTCATTGTGTGCCTAGTGACAACTGACTCTAAACATCATCTCCTTTATGAACTATAGGAACTTGGACAGGATGTGCAGCTGTTTGGAATCTGAGATTCTGAAAACCACATTGCTTTGATACATTTTCCTCTTTGTGTAGAACTTATGTATACCATACATTTTCTTTTGATAATGCTCTTTTTGCTGCTTCTGTTTGAGAATTTGAGACTTAAACCTTATTATGAAGTAGACTTTGTTCTTCTTCATGGGCCATATTAATTCAATTCAGTGGCTAGTTGGGGGTCAGGGATGCTTAAAATGAAACTTGTTATTCCAGTGAATCAGTCATTAGCATGCTCCCAGGTCAGTTAATAACCAGTAGAACTAAGTTGTATTTTGTTTAGAGCCATGATCCTCTGGATTACAGGCTTAAGCCACCCCACCCAGCAGAAGTAAGTTTTAATTATTGAAATATACAATGGAAGGATGTTGCTTGAGGAGAACCGAACATCATTTTTTCTTTAAATACTTGGTTCACATATTTTAGTAGAATTCCCACAATATGAATATAAATTACACTTTTTGTAGCTATTTAGAATTCCATTAATTTCAAATTATTTGGAGATATATTTAGAAGCATAGCTTTCAGACATGTATCTTTATCAGTGAATCCGTAAATCTTTTTTGAGTTTTGAAAAATACATTTAAATGCCTAAGTAAATATGTGTTATATATATATATTTTTTTTCTTTTTGCTTGTTTTTTGAGACAGGATCTCACTATATAGCCCAGACTAGGCTCAAACTCGGAATTCTTCTGCTTCAGCCACCCAAGTGCTGGGATTATGTGTATATCACCAGGCTCACATTTTGTTTGCTTACTTTTTTGATTCAGTCTTGTTTGAGTAACTATTATTTTTTAAATTCTTGTTCCCTTTTTATTTTTGCAATAAATTAACCATTTTATTTTATTTTTCATATTATTCAAAAACATTTTATTGTGCTGGGGGTACATTATGGCATTTACAAAAGTTCTTTCAATATATCAAATGTATCATAGTTTAATTCACCTCCTCCATCATTCTCCTTTATTCCCTGAAATTAGTCATTTTAAACATGGAAAGAATAATAGTATTTTTATTAAATTTAAGCTTATAATTTTTCAGTAAGTTTCATATGGCTTTTCTTTTGTTATATTTGCCTTCATTTTTGATAAGCTATCCACTGTTTTTCTAGCCAGAAATGTCCTTCCTATTATGATTACAAAAGCCTAAAAAACTAGTCACAGCTTGTGTTCTGGTAATCTTTCCAAAAAAGTCATCATATACAAATCAACTTTTATGCTCAATGATGTTCAATGGAAAGATCTAATAATATGGGAATGGTCAAACCAAGTATCTTAAATTGATCATAGTGGACTATTCTGTAGCATTTTAATATATGTAAAGAGTGTGTGTAATGAATAAGTAAAAGAGCATAGAAAACTGTATCAATGTGTAATAAACAGAAAATGCATTTTATATGCTACATAAAAGCCACGCACACATAAAAATAGTAGAAGGAAAGAAATCAGAATCCTAATGGTTGTTATATACACAAGGTAGGAGTATGGATGATTATTTTAGTATATTTTTATGTATTTTTCCATGTTTTCTGTAACAACTATGTTACTCATAGAAAATTCCAGTTTTCAATTAGAAAAATTATTGAAGACAAATTATACTCTAAAACTGGGAATTCTCAAAGGATCACAGGTTTTTTAATGTTTCATTTTTAGGGAATAAACGTAGAAATGATATTCAGTTTTTGGAAATGGTTAAAATACAGGTTATCCAAAATAGCAAAAAGACAAACTTTCTCCTCCTAGGTCTCTGAAAGGTAAAGACTCCACATTTTTTTTTACCTTCAACCTAAAATTGCGTAAGCAGCCACTGTCTTATTTTTCATTTTTGGTTCTGTGCCTGATTCTTCCTTCTCCACACTCATTTTAGATACTTCTGATAGGCACTTTTAGTTTTTTGTTTTAAAATTTGAATTTTTATTCTAACCAATACTTGATTTTACATAAATATGAATGTTCTTGTACTGATCCAGAAATTATTATACTTTTCTTCCCTTTCATTTCACTTTTCAGTTGGTGAAATGAAAATCACCTGATTTATGAAGCTCTATGATGAAGTTAAATAAATCTTAAGTTTGATTCCTAGCCTTATTAATTTCTGTTGAACTTTTAAGTATGATATCTTTACTTCTCTAAACCATAATATCCTCTTTTGTAAACGTGGATACTGACAGAATTGTCAGTATCTTGTGAAATAATATGCTTAAAGTACCATGCATATATTTGATTTTTGACAATTATTATTGTTATGTCTCTCATTTTACTCAAGGACTGCTTTCCTTAGAGTGTTTAAGACTGTTGTTTGTTAATGTTGCGTATATACTTTCATTTTCCTCATTTTTCCCAATAGGTAAAAAAGGAAGTAGAGATGAAAGGTGTGTGGACCATGCCATCAAAATACCACGAAGAAGGGTTTTACCACATTCAGTACAGTTTCATTAAGGAAGCAGAGCACCACTGCTTGTTACATAGCCCTATTCCTGTGAACTGCCCTATAAGATTGCTCCATGGCATGAAGGATGACATAGTGCCTTGGCATACATCCATGCAACTTGCCAATCAAGTACTTAGCACAGATGTGGATGTCATCCTCCGGAAAAACAGTGATCATAGAATGAAGGAAAAAGCAGACATTCAACTTCTCCTTTACACTATTGATGACTTAATTGATAAGCTTTCAACAATGTCTTTGCAGAAATAATACAAATTGTGACCAAAGTACTGGCTGCTGTGTAGAAATTTTTCTTCCTTCAATTTTCGATATTTTTTTCATTAAAATATTTATTTTTTTATTCGAGATGTTTACCTTTCTTATGCATATGTTAGCTGTGCCAGCCCTTAATTGTGTTCTTTTCTACTTAGAATTATAATAAAGCTTGAATATTTTGTTTTTTGTTTGGCACCATTATATATGGAAATCTGTAAAATTACTTCTGATTTTAAAATGCAGTTCACAGGATATAGAGCAATGTTAATTGAAATAAATTTGAAATGATTGGGGAAATGTCTGAAGCATAATAAAGTTAAAATAAGAATACCATGTTACGTTTGAACTTAAAATTTTATTTCTTTAAAGATTCATAACTTTTTACAGTGATATGAAGGAGATATTTATATATTTTGACTTATATGTCATATTTAAATGGCAAAATCATCTTTTTTTAGAAATACTATGTCACAGTGTTATGATCTTCCTGCTTCAGCCAGCCCTTGAGAGTGCTGAGATTATAGGTGTGAACCACTGTATAATGTAGCATTTTTATATTATGATTTGTAAGGCTAAAGAGAAAAATTGATCTTTCTATATTATTGCTTGCTTGTGGAAATGCTTTTTTAATAGTATGTGCCTTAAGTACAAATAGTCAAGTGATTGCCGCATATATCAGAGGACTTTCTGAAGTACAGAGAGCCAGTAAGAAAATATAAATACAAGTTTTAATAAAGACTTCTTTTGTTAGTGGTATTGGGTTTGATCTCAGGGCCTTGCTTTACCACTTGAGTCATGTCCCCAGTTCTTTTGCTTTTAGTTTGTTTTTCAGATAGAGTCTTAGAGGCTGGCCTTGGACTGCAGTCCTCCCATCTCTACCTCCCAAGTAGCTGGGATTAGAGAAGTGTACCACCATGCCCAGTGAGGTTTGTTTTGTAATAGCTAAAATGAGTTTGTGCAGTAGTCGGCCTTGATATTATTGAGTTGGTTTTTTTTTTTACCTATTTAAGTTTGGCTGAACCTTTGATAGTTTGCCTTTGTTATATCTGTCAAAGTAGAACTTTTATTAAGTTTGTAACATGACTCATGCATAAAATGAGCATGTATCAAAGATTTATTTAACTCATTAATAAAAGAGCCAGCACGTAGTAAACTTGTTTCAAAGGACAATTTAAGAAATGGAGTGTTTATAGGCCTTAAAAAAAGTTGACATAAAATTGCTGTGCAGAAAAGTGCTATAGCAGTCTGGTTGATTATCCTTGATTGTCTGGTTGCTTTATAAAGTTGGACCTTGGGTATCTGAGAACTTAGATTTCAGGGAGCTTCCCCCATTACAAGAACAAATCAAAGTAACTCACTACCAGTGCCTAAACTGCCAGTATAAATAATATGGCTTGTGCTGGAGAGTTGGCTTTCCTTCTGGGAGTCCAGAATTTTGGTATGTGCCAGGTAGAGACTATGTATGTGACCAGCCCCCAGTAAAAACCCTTGGCAGTGATTTAACAAGCTTCCCTAGTGACAAAATTTTATATGTGGGTTACAGCTTATTGTTGGGAGAACTCAGTTCAGTCCTTGTGACTGCACTGGGAGAGGATTCTTGGAAGCTTGCACCTAGTTTCCTTGGATTTCACCCCATGTGACTCTTTGCTGACTTCACTTTGTGTCCTTTCACTATAGTAAATCAGCAGTGAGTAGAATCATAGGCTGGATCCTTTGAGTCCTAGCAATTCTTTGAACCTGGATGGTCTAGGGGGACTCCTGATACAGATGGAATTAAGCTACAATCTGTGGGTTAACCTTTATGCCAGAGAAAAAGCAAAAAAAAAAAAAAAAAAAAAAAAGAGTCATCTATGACACTGGCTGTCCCAGGGCCTGTTTTGGATAGACATTGGTAGGCATGAAGGTTGTTTTTGGAAAATGAAGAGGAAGGGTCCCTGTCCATGAGTTTTCTGCAGTTAAACATAAGATACACTATAAAATCGGAGACTAACAGCGTGTACATAGTGGCAGTGTGACTTAACAGTTAAGGATAGACACTCAAATTTGGGATTGAATCCTGCCTCACCATTTTCTGTGACTGAGCAATTTAACCTCATTGAGCCTCAGTTTCCACATCTGTAAGGTGGCATAATATAAACCTAGATAATAGGGGGTAAGGATTAAACCAGTACAACTATATTTAGGACAATGACATAGGAAGCACTAATTTTTGCTCCTATCACTGCGCAGTGCACATCCCAATGAGAAACTGATGGACACAATCCATGGTGCTCTAAGAAGGAAAGAGGAAGCAAGAAAATGGGTGGAGCTTCTAAAGCTGAAGTAGACTGACCTTCCTAACTAGAAGGTCCCAAATTGGAATGTAACTTCATGGTGTTCATTCAAATGTTTAATGGTTTAAAAAAATAAAAGGAAGGAAACTTCACAATCTAAAATAGGAAAACCTGTTTTAAAATTTAGCTTCCAAATGAGATTAAAGTGGTGAGACTTAGTTCAGTAGTCAGTGACATGAGAGTTCCTGAGGAACCGGTAGCCCCCGCGTGCCTTATCCTGTGGAATTCCAGCGTTATTTTAAAGGTGGCAGGATGCCTCTACATAATTTCAGCATGGAAAGGGAGAAGGCAAGTATCAATAAAAGGAAAGCTAATTGAGACCACATGGTATATTTTGCTTTTGTCGCATCTGAAGAGTTTATAAACATTTCCAGACAAAAATCTAAACAGTATGCCTTTCTCTGAGGAACAAATAGAAAGGTCTGTGTGGAGGAAAAACGAAAAGTTTCATAAAGCATGAATATAGAGCAAAGAGAAGTCCCCAAATTATGTCAAATGTTCATTAAGTTTAGAATAGTTAAAAATGTGAAACCCTCATTTCTGGAGGAGGGAAAAATGTAGGTAGAATTTAAATACAGTCAACCCTTGATAACTCCGGAAGGTGGTTACAATGCTCTCCGAAGACATCAAAATCCAAGGATGCTCAAGTTAGATGCTCATGTAAAGTTGGCATAGTATTTGCATATGACCCATGTACATCCTCTGGTATGCTTTAAATTATCTCTAGATTACTTACAATATCTAATTCAATGTAAATATGATGTAAATAGTTACGTTTTTAGGGGGTAATGATGAGGAAAAGTCTGTATGATAGGTACAGCTAATTTTTTTTTCTAAAACTTTTGATCTGCAGTTGGTTGGATCCTCAGATGAACAATTTGTGGATATGTATACCTTTTATAGATCCCTTTGACCTCAGGGCTTCATGCTTGCAAAGTGGGCACGCGACAATTTGAGCCACACCTCCAGTCCATTTTTGCTCTGGTTATCTTAGAAATGGGGTCTCCCAAACTATTTGATTGGGCTGGCCTCGAACCTTGACCTTTCCAATCCCTGCCTTCCAAGAGCTGGGATTACAGGTGTGAGCCTCTGGTGCCCAGCTAAAGATCCCTTTTAAATACAGATCTTAAGTAGCTTTTTAGTTTAGTAAAAATCATGCATTGTGAATAACTTGGCTTATGAAAAAAAATGTGATGCTTTGATATATTTTGAGAATACATCTAGAAAAACTCAGGCAGTTTTTAAAGCCAAGTATATATTTTAGGGAAGAAATCCTTTCTCCTTTAATCTTTTTCCTGGGTTTTCGGGTTTTTGCTGATAGTTTAACTTTTTTTCTGCTAAAAAGAAGCTGCTCAATTTGGTCTTCCCTCATGACTCCCTCAGCAGACAGTCCAATGCCGGTCAGTTTCTCTGAAGCACTTTTGACTCATTCCCATCTCTCTTTTTCCAGGAAATTTGTTGCTGGGTCCTCTGTGCTCTCTCATGAAGAGCACTATGCCCAGGCCTTTTTGATAAAACATTGCTTTGAAATTCTCAGCCTATTTGCCTGCCTCTCTCAAAGGACTATTGAGTTCAGGAGCTTTGTTTTGACAGTGTTGATTCCCAGACATCCCTGACATGCTACATCAACTCTGTTATGGGCTACTCCCCCTTGCACAGCTTGTAATGCTAATATTCCCTTAAGTTCTGGCCTTAACAGTCTTCTTATGCTACCTATTTATTCACCTGTAAGCAATACCATCTATGTTTATGGTTTTAACTACTACCTGCATGCAGATGATTCAAGTACCTTCTACCATCTCTCTCTTGAGCTCCAGACTCATAAAACTAACTGCCTAATGAACTCAGGTGGACCATCGGCCTCCCAGATGTGGTAAGTCCAGATCTTATTATCATCCCCCTTTGTATACCACCCCACCTATGAGTCCTTTTGCAATTAATGGCACCACCAGTACTTTTGTTACACGAGTCAAACTGTGAGTCACTCTGACAGTCTCCTTCCTTTTCCTTAAACACCATGGTTTTCTTTCCCTGTGAAAAATCTCAGACTTTTTTTTCCCCCCCTTTGGCAAGGACTGGGGTTTGAACTCAGGGCCTTGTGCTTGCTAGGCAGGCACTCTACCACTGAACCATGGCCCCAGCCCTCTCAGACTCTTTTGCATGATACATAAGTCCACATAAGGGTGACAGGGCAGATATTTATCAACTAGCTTTCCATTTTAGCACTTGCCAAAGTCCATGGCATAAATACTCCTAACATGACTAGTTTCAAACTACCACTCTGATGTCTTTGAATCCAAGTTGGGAAGAAATGGCAGCACCATACAATTGCACAGTATTTAGACCATATAGAGACAGAAAACAATTACCCTCAAGAATATAGGTAATAGGAAAATGTAGCAAAATACAAGGCAATTTGAATATTTAGCCTCTGTAATATAATTTATGTAAGAATAAGTTCTTATAGTTTAATTGCTTATAATGGCTGGATTTAATAACTGGACCTCAAAATTACTGGAAATGTAACCATGAATATTTGTGAACACACTACTTTATGTCAGGAACCTGCCTGATGTCCCAGCCTCATTTTTCTGTTTGTGTGACTTTTACCTTTAACCTTGTGTTTTGCTTATACTAAGACATTTGCACCTTTTTAAATAAAGCTGCCTTTGCCAGGACAA